CTCCCTCCTGCCACCACAGAAATCTTGAAGCTCCTCAATCAGACTCAGGGACCTTCACGTGCATGAATATTTCTTCAACATCTGCAGGGATTGCAACTGCCTCCTTGCGAAAACTTATTAATATACACCCTAACTCAGCAGTGGTATCGGGTTCTTGATAAATCATATCATTTGGGGGAACCCCTGCAAACTGGGCGGCACAATCAAGGACCACTCTAAGATCTGGGTTTTTCATGTTTAATACTGCATGATGAGATAAATACCATCGAGGGCGATAATAAGACTGCAGATATATTTCAAAGACCCTCTCCGCATAAGTCTTAGTAAAATCACTTTCAGTACTTTTGATATACTTGATGTGCAGACTGACATCCTTCGACAACATACCCTTCAAACTTTGTAATCTACGGTTTGCTACTTCATAATTATCCACTTTCATATCTGGATTCTTTTTCCAAGGTATAGAAACTACAAAATGACCGTTGCCGAAGCGCGTGCCACCTTCCACAATCTTTATAGCCATCTTGTCGTCTACTGATAATGATTTATCACTTGAATAAGCATCTGAAAACTCTACTTCATAAGGCTTACGTATTTCGTTCTCTAGTGTCTGTATCTTACTGGTATGAATAACAACTCTTTTCCTATAATCCGGATACGATACAGGTCCGAAGACCGTCCACCCCAGCAATGTTTTCACAGCGTACGGGTTTTTTCTTCCACCCAATCGCTGATCTAACACCCAGTGTGCTTCTGGCACGTCGCAACCAATCAACAGCAGAACTTCTTCAGAGTCTAAGTTATCTATTGGTACATCCCTTAAATGTGGCCACCTAACTAGGTTGTTCACCGCCGCCCTTGTTGGCTTTTGACCTGGTATACCTGCCACAATCAGAGCTCCTTCGATCGTAACATGTTCGGACCGATCTAACGAATATACCTCAAAAGGTGTCCTTGTGACCGTCACTGTCCTATTACCACTCACGGTCTCTACTACCACTGACGCTCGGTCTTCCTTCAGCCCGAGATACCTCGAACAGCTCGATTTCATCAACGTCACATCAGACCCGTGATCCAACAAGGCATAACCCACAATTTCGGCGTTTCCCAACATCAACCGCGCAGGAATCATTCCTAAGCACACTTGACTACTTAGGGATTTAGTAAGTCCACAGCAATTCTGGGTTCCAAACTTATTATTTACACCGTTGCTTGTCGAGTTGGTATGCAGCAGAGTGTGATGTCTTTTCTCACAACTGTCAACGTTACAGGGCCTTGTCATCTTGCATTCACTGGCCTTATGTCCTTGTCTAAGGCAGACGAAACAAATGCCATTAACTCTTGCGTGAGACCAACTCTATTGAACGGTAAGCGCTAAAAATTTTGGACATTTATAAATAACATGGTCCAGGGAACACACACTGCATTTAGCTCTCTCTCTCGAATTAATATCCTGCTCCAATTGCAAGTGACAATTTGTCTTTAGGTTGTGTACCTTTCTCGGACGATTCGCTAACCGTCCAAACCTACTATTAGCTACTCTCGCTCGGGATGCTATAAATTGGGTAAGCTCGTCAAAAGTCGGTTCTCTATTATCTTCCGTCAATTCATCCACCCGGTCCGCCCACTGGGCTTGCATAGCTTGACGTAATAGTCTTACTATTCTTTCCAAAGTAACTAAGGAATTTAGGTCAGAGGTATAATTCATCTGTTCCAAGACCATAGCACAGTTTTCCATTTTAATAGCCAAGTTTGATAGTTGCTCCCCGTCAGTATAATCAATATTTACAGCATTGAATAAGTCTTCTAATGTTTCTCGAGCGATTACATGAGACTATCCAAACAAACGTTTAAGGATTTCCCTTGACCTCCTGTAACCGGAGGATGCGTCCATCATGACACAACCCTCAATAGCTGTTTTCGCCTTGCCCTTACAATACTGCATTAAATAGAGCAAACGTTGGCTATCATCAGTGACTCTTGATGCTACATAGGTCTCAAACTGCCTTATAAACTTCCAGTATCCTCTTGGCTGTCCATCGAAATAACTCAATTCAACCTTTGGTAGTTCTAGACCAACAACAGGCGCTATAGGCAAAACGCTCTTTCCTGGTAATTCAAGCCTTTGCTTCTCCTTTAAACTAAGATATTTACGTCATCTGTCATCGAATTAAGACTAGAGTCACTACCATGATAATCAACCCTATTCGAGTCTGAACCATGACACTTAAGGACATCAAAAGGCACTTGCTTGGTAATAGGGGATTCTTCATTAACATCAACGAACTTTGAGCTTGATTTCCTTCGACGATTAGTTGGCATTATAAACGAAACGACCAAATATTTCAAGAAACGATAATCAAAATCCGCGAACGATTGACGAAGGATTTCGGCCAAGTAATAATTGTTTAGAATTGTAGAATCCAAACTACAGTTTGGATAGAAGAATAGCCGACCGGGGACTTTAGACACGCGCCCTTTCCCGTCGAAATCAAAACAAGTAATCGGGTAAATAGCGGTTCTATAATTCATCATAAATTTAAATGTAAATCGTTACCTAAACAAATATTACCACCTGGCTATTCAACCAATAATTGTTCAATCAATCAAATCTAAATTACAATAAATAAAGAAGTTGATAGAAGATGAGGGAAAATTACCAGTCACAACAAATGAACGTTATTCTATCCTGACTGGATAGAACACACACTAAAGGAGGAGCAAATCAATATGGCTACCGCCAAGAACAAGTGTCAAGTAAAACAACACAGATGCAGTTCAGGAAGAAACATAAACTTAGTGAACGCGTAAGAAAAACAAAAACTATAATAAAAAATACAAGTATTAACAATTCAAATGTAATCAAAAGACAACAATGTACAACTAAGGGGATCAATAGGAACAAAGTGCAAGTATATACATGGAGGGATTTTCACAAACACACAAAGCATTCAAAATGGATCTTACAAATATATTTGTTGGTTGTTAGATGGGTTGATTTAAAAACTTACTGTTGGGGAGATCCAGAATTGTCCTCGAAAAAAGCCAACGAATACGGGGAGACCCTTCATTTAGATTTTGCCGGCCCAATATGAGGAAGAATGTTTCTAGTCATAATGGACGCACTCACAAAATAGCCACAAATCTATGCCACGGTAAATTGCCCGGCCAGTGAAACAATCAACAGGTTATCTGAACTGTTGATCTGCTTAAGAGTTCCGGAGAATTTAGTGGCCGATAACGGCTCACAACTTACTGCAGAATCATCAAGAACTTCTGAAACATGAATCGAATTGTATGTATACGCTTTCCACCCTATCACCCTAATTCAAATGGACAGGCAGAGTGCTTCGTGGACACATTCAAAAGAGCACTACTGAAAGGAGAACGAGAGGGGATAAGTCAAGTAATTCCTAACAGTGTATAGAACTACTCCTAACCATGTTGTCCAAGATGGAAAGTCCCCTGCTGGAGCGATGTTTGAGAGACGCATCCAAACTATATTTGAAGCCGTGTTGCCACCAAAACCAATGGTTGAACGCAGAAGAAATCAGAATATTCAGAGTTTTGACGTCGGAGATCAAGTCATCAAGTCATATATCCGGAAAAATCGTAGGGAGCGGGAAGTCATTGAAAAAAGAATAGGAAATGTTTATACAAAGTACGTGGGATTAGATAGATCAATCAAATAAACAGAGAAAAAAGGTCACTGAACACTATAAATATTCGAGTGAGCCTTCGGTCAAACATAATTACAGATACTCCAATAGCAGGAACCCCAGCAGACACACATAGAAGCTGGATACCAAGAAAGTCCGAGCACCCAAAAAGACCAGTTATCAAGCTGCAAGTAGACCCGAAGAAAATGTCTTACTTTTAAAGGGGGGATGTGTTGTGGAAATCCATAAAACTCCTCAAAAAAGCCAACAAGGGCTCTGAAAACGCTTAAAAGCATCTTATCCGACCGAAATTAACTAGAAGTTTTGCCAGAATCACCTAGAAAGTGAAAGGTCACATGTCGAGTTTCTGATTGGATGATGCTGATATGTTCAATAGCATTCCAGAATTTTCCGAAAACTCAAGGCCATCTCAAATATTATAAAAACCCTAGAATTTTTGTACATGAATGAATTTTTAGAATAAACGGTTTTTCCCCATATTTCGCACCTTTTCTCTCATATTCAAGTTGTCGTGTAGATCTAGCCTAGGGATTAGTAGAACCGAATCTAGAGTTCAATTAGAAGACTTATCACTTACTACAGTTCTTTATTATCTGTGTCGATTTCGTTCCATAATTTAAAACTTCTATACGTAAGTTTTATTAACAGTACATTATTCACATGCACTGATCTGAGGATATAATACCGCCGAAATCCTTCTCATGAGTTACAAACATTCTCTAAAATCTCAAAAAATCATTTGCATTTTAACATGAAGGCGATTGTTTCCGAGTGCATCAAACAGTTTCTCGTCTATAATTGCAGTTCAGATCTCAATAATTTTGTACAATTTCGCATGACACAGATCGTCCTCGACTGGGTGAAAATACCAAAAATCACACTTCGGTATGAATATATATATGTAAATATATATAAAAAAATTAAATGTACATAGACACATTTATAAACTACATAAAAATAAAATATACCAGGTGTATATTAACTCAATGATAAGTATATGTATATGATATTACTATCAACGTGCTTCACAGATTATACGATAAGATAAAGGTTTTATAAATTTGTAATGCTTTATGGCATAACAACTTTAGATAAATTAAAAGGTTGTCTTTCTGGTTTGAATTGCGTTTAGCAATTTAAACAATAAATTGAGTTTTTATTGTTGTAAAAAATATATCATTAGATTCTTCTATTTTAATTAGAAACTGGTCCTATAGATAATGGTAAACATTTCTAGTCATTTAGACACTATAATATAAGCACGGAAAATAGTAATTTTCATCTATTTGCTTGAGAAAATATGATTCCATAAAATTTGGCTTAAGTTATATCACCAACAATCTCAAAAACTTCATTTGGCTTGCAAACTCTAGCATTTGGACCTAACATATCATGTACCCATTCTTCCCACGGAACGATAATTTGTTTAGGAGGCACGAGTATACGTGCTGTTGTGTGTGGGTCTTTAGGATACCAAATTAATGATTGGGCAGCATTACAGTGGGGTGGATGTGCTGCAGAGATGGGTAGTCTGTAAGGTTTATCCGAATTTGTTAAAATAACCCCATTATGTTGGACATCATAAATTTTGCGTATACGACTACCCAGAGGCATAAATGGATCAACTTTTATACGTAAGTCATATTCCCAACGTATTTTTTCCAATACAGAAATCTCATCTTTACATGAAAACGTTTTTCCATATTTGATAGCTACTAACCAAATTAGAAATTTTTGTTGTCTAATAATTTCAGTTAGTCGTACGCCACCAGAAAAAGGTAATTCCCAGACAACAGAAGGATGGAAATAATCTTTCACATGTAAATTTAGAGTTGATTTTTTTAAGGGACCTTTTTTAATATTATATAAACTTTGATGAACACTATAAAATGGATATTGCAGCCCATCGCTATCATTGATTAGTTGTCTCAGACCACTTTTTAATGGATGAAATTCCCAAAGTGATTGACCAATTCCTTCATAATCATTAGCTAAATACATATAATCACAAGCTTGAACAAGACCAACTGTCCAATCGTGATCAGATATACATGTAGGAATATCTATTTCAACTTTACAATAAAATGTTTGAGTTTTATAATAAAGCATCGAGTCCGTTTCTTCGATTTCTGTGCTTGTTGTATCGTCATAATAAGCTCGAATCCTTTTGACATAAAATTTATCTATAGTCAATTTGTTCATCTAATAGCCAGAATATGGATTCATTTTTCTTTTTAATGTTAATTTGTAGAAAGTTAATAAAAATTAATATCCAAGTTCTAAATAGATCCCATATATTGAAAAATTGTTTTTTTAAATTGGTTCAGAAAACAGACATTCAAAAAGTGGTTAAAACGTAACGGAGATTTCAATAAGCTCAATTTTAAGATACTATTCTCTGGTCGTTGAAAGTCAGCCTGATAATTTTAAAATAATTGAAAATCGATTACGCAACGTTCATCAACAAAATTAATGTAGAAAATATGTGAAAATTAAGATGGTGTAAACTGATGGAGTTTTTTTTATATAAAAGTTCCAGTTGAGGTGTACTATAAGTTAGAATAATAAAACATTCTCGATCATACTTCGTATCATATGACCGTTACTGAAACTGAATAAATGTAGAATCAACGAGTTACTACACAAAATGCCCTGCATAAAAACTATTTTCTCTGAAACTATAGAATATGGTTAACTGTAGTTGTAAAAGCTTGTAATTTATTGACAATCTATTAGTTATTTGCCGGACTAATTATCTAATGGAAAATAACCTCCGTAAATAGACAATGTCTGGGTATAATTTAAGTTACTTATCATATAAGTGGAGCACAAAGTACTAGGAGAACAATCAAACAAAGCAAGTACTCAATTAATGTCACTTTCTTTATACATGAGCAGAAGTTTGTCAACTATACATGCACTAATACAGATATAGTCTTGACTGGAAATAAAAGAGAATATTAGAAAAACATACGACCCAACTGATCACATGTTAAAACATAATGCAAGCTGAAAAATAGGAGTATAGAAGTTCATATCAGTTCTTAAATGATGACAGTTGCAGAAGACAAATGTGTGCATCACTCCACGTTGCCAAACCATATCAACCTATCAAGTTGAAATTACCACGACAAATCCCAGAATAGTAAAAATAATAACTGTATCAGTGATAGTAGAAAAGATTAGGGAAGACATAAGAGCAATTATTCAACCAACCAAGATATTTAATCGAATGAGTTCACATTAGCTACGATATATTATCAAATATAAAGCAAAAAAGTATGCGTTGGGTACGACAAAATTGAATAATAACCTAAATTCACCACAATTTGAAGCTGAATACATAATTTGTAGAGGAATGTACGCACAACTACCAACACCTACCTCTTAAGTACTTAAATCACGTAACTAAATCTCGCAGTCATATTAAATTGGATGACAGTACAATGCTTAATAAACTATTCTGCAGTTACTTTTTGTGTTTACCACGAATACTAGTTTTAGTCTAGATATTTTTAGTCTCGAAGAGTGAAATGTGTATCGGTATACTTAGATAATGATTTCAGAAACTCAGTTAATGTTAATAAGACTCGAAGACCGTTTGTGTTTTAGTAGGACATGACTTTTCGAAAATATAATTGTAAATACTTATTTGTAACTTTTAAATTACAGGATTCAGTCTGCCTGCCAGCCCTGGTACAAGCTTTTCCAGAGAAGATACTTGGGAGGACGAGTTGACACAGTAATCGACTTTACACCATTAATTGACTTTATTCACAGAAAACTTAACAATAAGTATGAAGATCGTTAAACTTGATTTCCGACCACAAAAACAAGAATCGAACATTTATTTATTGATTCAGTATAAATACAGTGTCATATAATGAAAGATAACTTCTTTATTGAATCAAATTCCCTTAACATATATAAGCAAAACGAAATATTTTTATTCTAATTTGAAATGAATTTTATAATCGGTAGGATTTACATGAACAATAACTTTAATCTAAACGAGAAGATACTAACATCATTACATTAAAACAAAAAAACTAATTGAACAACAAACAGGTGAGAAAACATGTGCGTGTATAGTATGGAAGAATAAACACATTCAAACAGATACGCATATAAGATAGCATTTAAGTATAGGTAATTGTTCTTTTTCATTTTACATTACAAAAAAACTCAACATTCAATTAACTAATGAAACTTATTTGAAATAGCAGCTTAACCAATATGAGCAATAAATAAACACTTATACATTTTGAAATGGACATTGAACATAAAATAATCATGAAAAGTATCTTTTATAACGGAAAAAAGTGTACATAATGAGAAACATAAAAGTAATTACATAATGAAACCAAATGTATGTGCATGTGTGCATAGTGTTTTTAACATGACACTAAGTAATTCTAGAGAAACGAAGATCATTATCACAGTTATTCGCTTGCTTTTAAAGCTGCAATGAACTCTTCTAATTTCTCTTGAATATGTCTTGTTCGACCTGTCAAAAAGAAAAAACTCGCAGTATGCACAATTGAAACGGGATGGTGTAGCGAAAAACAAAGAATTTACTGGTTTACTTCCATTAAAAAGTAAAAGAAATTACTGCTGATAAATGAGGATATCGAATTGATCAATACAGTATATTTATGACTTGGCCAACCTTTTGATCTGAATATGTATTTTAGTCGGCGATTACTAAACAACTAATTTACCAGGATCCCAAACAATTTATACAACGACAACTTGAAACGACCTACATAGATTTTACTAATTGTCCCAGCCAGACATCCAAATTATCAGTAGAATTCATCATGTTTTTTTTCGTACAATAATGACAAAAACTGAACACAAAATGCAGTGTTTTGAAATTATCACTGATTTTGTCTTATCGTCATATTACATATCATGTTCCTTATATGTGATGAAAAAGGATCATAAGTATTTGTTGTGTCTTGTTACTGAGGTTCAGCACGGTCTACGATGTTACGGATCTAGAGACGGAACCGATTGAGCAACTCTAATACTCTCGGTTCTTTTCGGAACTGACAACAGTCAATTATACTCAACAAATAGAACCTTGACGGCTAAGATAGGAAGAAAACGGAATGGCAGGTAACTTGATATTTGTGATACGACAAGCAATTCAAACTAAATCGTTAAAAACTTTGTTACCTAGTAGCAGAATATGACCTACAAGCATGTAGCTATTCAGCGAACTAAAAAAACATGACAATCAATCAGAGGGCAAAGGTCATGTGGAAAATTGAATTAATAGGAAATGTGTGAGCGATTATCGTTCCTGAAGAAATGTTAGCCTTTCTAGTAAAACTTGACTACTCTTGCGACCGCCTTAGTAGTATTCCTTTATACTAGTAGCTAGGATTATCGCACTACATACACTAAAGAACACTGGCTCTTTGGTCAGACCACTCAACTCTAAACCATAAAACCTTAAGTTCAAACTCCACTCTACATAGAATTTGATAACTGACTAATTTCACTAGTTTTCACACGGAACATATGACTCTAACTCCAGTAAATAAAAAATGTACAAGGTTGCACTGTACATACATACAATTATATATATATTTCTTGTCAGATGAAAAAAAGAAACAACTTTTATTATTATTGTCTATATTTATTCAAATGCGTTAAACCTATAAATGCGATACTTATACGAATAGGGAGATTCCATAAAAATTCGTTGAATGATATCTCTGCTAAGTAAGCGTTTTCTCAATTTCTGGCCTAACTACAAACAAGCAACGACATACTACTTCCAGGAATTTTAGCTTGTTAGGATGCTATAATAATTAACATTTCAAGTATTAGAAACTAATATAACAGACTCCATGACTCACTTAAATCTTCAGCTAATTGTACACGCCTGCCAGTGATAAGCTTTTTTACACGAATAGGATCATTAGACAATTCGTTTAAAACTTGCTTTACATAATGTTCCAAACGACGTGCTAGTTACAAATAAATTGTATGGGAAGGAATCATTAAAGATATATTCTCAATGGCTGGTAGAGAAGGTTAAATCTGATTGATGATTAAAACTGTTGAACTAGTAACATGTAAAAACCAATAAATTAAATTAAACAAATTCATACGAATTGACAGAGACAACATATCAGAGATACAATGCCCACCAGTACCTAGGATTTTGATCATTTTTCCAAAGTTCTAGTAGGAACCGGTCAGGTATGGAATCAAGCAACTTGGTAGGAAGATATTAACTCACCGATGACAGTCAACGAGAATCGTACAGTGCTATAAAATGACTTAAGATGGATAAATTGAATAGACAGGATTCGGTCCAGTCATTTAATGAGACCGAGAGACATGAACGTCTTCAGTTTAGCCCTGTGTGTAAACATGGGTGTTCGCTGTCGAGGAATTCTGAACTGGAGTGAGACAGTATTCTATGGTCACTTCTAGTGGTTTTTATGCTGATGAGAATTAGTGATAAAGAATAAACTTTCAAATAAACGGAAAACTTCAGGAAACCATCTCACTCAATAAATATGATAAAGTTGAAAAAAATACCAAAATAATATTGTTTTTATTACACTGAAGTGTGAGTTATGTCAATCAACTAGTTTGAATAAAGCTTTATAATAAGCTGAAATACCCTATTCTTAGGTATTTAAACTGTATAAAGTTAAAACAATAAATCTATATGGACTAAGAAGCCATCACAACTTATCAGAATGACTCTGTACAACAGGTATACTTTACACAACGCCATAAATGTGGGTGGCACATACTTGAAAAATTGTGTGAACCAGAACATCAAATAAATGAAATGTTTCAAGTATGCGGATATTTCATAACGTCTTAAATAAAAACGTCATACTAGGAAACCAAAAATTACCATTAGTTATTTATATTTAAGTCATTCTGAGATAGAACAATTGTAGACCAATCAATAAGCAAACCATCGGAGATCTTTCAGTAACTTAGAATCCAACATACATTTCGTAGATATGTACATAACTCAAACGTAGACACAAATTCAATTTTTCGTAAAACATTTTTAAAGAACGTTATTATCAGAAGTAATTAGATTCAGAAACCAGATTATAACCATACAACTTACCTTCATCATTCATAATTTGTTGTCTAAGCGCATTACTAGTTGCATTCATCATACGATTCAGGCGAGAGAAAAAGATCACTTCACGACAATCAGGGAAATCAGACGACAATGAATCTTTACGTAAACGGGAATTTTCAGCTGCATTAGATGTATGTTCATTAGTATTGGAGGATTTATTAAATGAAGATGTATTCAGAAAACCATGCTGATAATAGTAAAAGCCTTTTCGACACTCTTGACAAACAAACAAAGATCGTTCAAGATAAAAACGTCGAACTAAAGGTTCCCAAGTTTCACAAATCTGACAGCAACGTAACATGTGAAAGTAAACAAAATTGAAATCTTTTAGAAAAATTATGCATCACATGTAGAAAAAAAAGTAAACTACTGGCTAACTAGTATCTTTGAAAATCCCTTAAAATCTAAAAATACAGATTTTCATTTTTCAAAATCCGATTGATTAACATGATAAAATTAATACTAGCCTTACTTTACTTTGTAGTTTCTGGAGTATCAGGGTCACGGGTAACTATTAATACACTTTGTTTCCCATACACGAACCAACAATGAAATTAGGGCATTTTTATAATTCTATCATTCAGTTTCGTCGACGACTTAAATGCTGAGAATTTTGGGAGTCTAGATTTAGCTAAGGAGTCAGTATCTTAATGGAACAGTTTTATTCATGAATCCATAAAAAAACAATATAGTGACTAATCTGAAAAAAATATTGTTAAGAATTAGGCTGTTCAGTTCAAAATTAGAAACTATTCAATACACGTTCGAGATATAATATTCATAAACTTACTTACGCTTGCTACCCCATGTGGACGAGCATAGGCCGCCCAAAAGCATTCCCCATCGAACACTTTCCTGAGCGATCATTCCCAGCTGTCTCCAGTTGCTATTCATCGTTTTTATGTCTTCTTCCAATTCCCGGTGCAATGTTTTCTTTGTTCTTCCTATTTACCTTTTCCCATCAGGATTCCAAGTTAGGGCTTGCCTCATGATGCAGTTTGATGATTTCTGCTATGTATGTCGTGTTCACTCTCAACGACTTTTCCTAATTTCCTGTTCAACTGGAAACTGGTTTCTTCTCTCCCACAGTAGGCTGTTGCTGATGGTATCCGGTCTACGGACATTGAGTATCTTGTGTAGACAATTGTTTAGAAATACTTATACTGTCTCGATTACGGTTGTGTTAGTTCTCCAAGTTTCAGCTCCATACAACAGAACTGTCTCGACGATTTTATTGAAGATTCTGACTTCGATATTGGTTAGCATACAGTCGTTTTGAGTTCCATAAGTTCTTCAACTGTAGGGATGCTGTCTTTACTTTGCCAATACCTGCCTCTACGTTCATCGATGATGTTGACCAGGTATATGGATGTTTCCACCTCTTACAGAGTTTCTCCATCAAGTTTAATTGGGTTGATGTTCTCTGTGTTCCATAATGTTTTCCTATCCACACTGCAAAACTTCTTTTCATAGTCAAGAAAGTTGATGTATAGTGACGAATTCCATTCAAATGATTGTTCATCAGTGATCCGTGGTGTCGCGATTTGGTCTGTGCACGACTGATCCTTACGGAATCAGGAACGTTGATCTCAAAACTTGACGTCCATTGAATCCTTCATCCGGTTCAGCAACACTCTGTTGACAACGTTTTCATGCGCCATTAGTAATGTTATATCTCTTTAGTTCTCACATTTGCTCAGATCTCCCTTCTTTGGTATCATGATGAGATATCATTCATTCCAGTCTTTTAGCACTTGTTCCTCCTCCCACATTTTCCTGAATAGAGTGTGAAGTATGATTCAAGTTAATTCCATGTTTGACTTCAGTGCTTCAGCTGGTATGTTGTCACGTCCGGCTGCTATCGCACTCTCGATTTATTTTATGGCCATCCTGATCCCTTCGATCTTTAGTTGAGTGACATCTATAGTAAGGTCTGTGTGTGCCGCATCGATGTTTAGTGGATTCGATGGAGCTAGTATACTCAAGAGTTCTTCAAAGTGTTCTACGCACCTGTTCTTCTGTTCTCTAATCTCAGTGACTAAATTGCCTTCTTTTTTCTTGACAGGTCCCTCTGGTTTATTATATTGGCCTTCCAGTTTCTTCCTTGTGTTATATAATTATTTGATATTCCCTTCTCTTGCAGCTTTTTCCGCTGTCGTTGCTATGTCTTCCACGTAGTTCTGCTTGTCAGCTCTAACGCTCTCTGTTATGTCCCGACAAGAATAATGAATGGTAACTTTTGGGATCTATTGATGGACCAATACTAAACGCATATTTCTACTGTATAATTATTAAGCAGCTAAACTATACATATTCATATTCCTCTTATTATAAGCTTTACTTTGATCAATAAACTATTATTATACGTTTTACCATTCTTGAGTTATACCCAGTATATTAATTACTACCTCCCTCATTCACAGCCACATCTGGCTAATTCTTGTACAAATGTTGTTTCATATTTTATTAGTACGTTGTGGTCTCTTTGACTCAGCATGTATGGAATATAATGATTCATATTGCAATGGCTGGGCTAGGGGGAAAGCAGGACCAATCAGGACTCTAGGCTGCTCGCACGTGCTTTACGCATCCTTGGTCCGATCGATAATTCGTTGCTTCTGATTGGCGGCTTTGGGCTATAACACTTTCCTTGACCTGTTTGTTTGCTTCAGTGTGTATTCAGCTTGTGCCTTAACTTTCTCTGTTCTTATTAGGCAATTATTAATTACTATCTTCATAAAAGTACATATTTATATTGTGTTTACAGCGATGAGTAGTTCTACGTACATTGATTAAATAGTGTATAGAACTCTGGGATTCCAAAGATTCATGAAAATAAAAGATCCATGCAGGCCAAAACTGAAAAAAACTAAATCCTAAGCCTAATGTAGAAGCTAAAAAAATAGCCCAATTACTTTTATAATCATAAGAACTAGGAAACAATACAGTAGAGACAATTATTATTGTATCAAACACAAGTGTAGATGAATAGTAGCAATTATTACTTAACAGGATTACATAGATATGTTTCCTTTAAGATAAAATAAACTCACAACTTTATCAGTCACAGGAACATTACGAGCTTGAAGATTACGTCTAATAGTAGTTAAATCATCTTGATTAATATGAGCGGATGGTTTCTGCATAAAGAAACAAAATGAACAATTTAAAAGGAAATGTAATTAATTTTCAAAAACAATTAATGAAAAATGTAGAAATTATTAGAGATTAACAAAATCTATGAAAATGAAACAATTGGATTTACTGTTTCAACTTTTCATATTAAAAAAAATATCTGCATTTTGTGACAATATAAAATGCCATAGTTAGATAAATAACGAGATTTTCTAAGCACCACAAATGCAATATAGATCAATTTAGTGTAAAAATATATTGACTCGTATCAGTTGGATTTAGTTATAAGACAGTCTTGTAAATACAACTGTATGACATAAGTTAGATTAATAATATGTTGAACAGTGTTAAATATTTTGCAATGCAACTGGGTGATGAGTTTATTTTTTATCTATTTCCATAAGTTATTATTTTATGTGATATAAGCTGAAATCAGATATACATTGTCAACACTCTTTTACTAGGGCGAATAATCACGATCACACAAAAACATACATTCGTCAGTTTTAATACATCTGTTTAACGTATAACCCTGTGTCTTTGTGGTGCTACGCTTACAATAATCGACTGAAGCTTCAGTTATGCATAATCTTTGTCTACAAAAAAGAATATGATCCCTTTTGTTATTTATTGATCACTTTAAACATACAGTAGAAGTTGTAGAAGAACTATTAATGATAAAATGTTGGGACGATACATTTAAGATAAATTCACTCACTAAATAGCACACTCCAACGCATGCATACAGACATAAAGCTAATGACCGACCTGTGATGGTCTTAAAAACAATACTATTTCAAAACCAGGCGGAACCATAGTGATGACAGTGATTAAACACGATGTGGTTTGAAGGCACGGGATAAGAGAAAAGTGCATTTATTCTGAACTATGAAGCTGTTGTTTGACATTTGTTTATTGCCCTATCCGTTTGTATAGTAAGATATGAGAAATTTAAATATATCACCTGGACATGTAGCAAAAATAGTGCTTTGAATGGTACACTCGTTTTTATTTTGGCGAAAATAATATTAAAAGCATAAAGACAGTGATTCACTAAGATAAGTGAAACAACTCTCACTGGAAGTGATATTAATAAATTTTCAATCTCCTGAGCGGTTTGTAAACGAGCATCTTCTTCTGCTGTGCGTTTTTTCCAACGAGTCCATTGCTCAACCCATCCAGGACCAAAACTTGAAGTAATCGACTGATTTACTGAGGAGGTAGAAAAAACAAGTATTTTTTTCAGGAAACAAAATGGAAGAATACTGTTGAATAATTCCCATGAATGGGATCCAATGTACGTTTGGTTCCGGGAAAAGGCAAGTATTTTATTATTATAAATATCATCATAGTCTAATTTTACACTTCAAATTAGAAAAAAAACTAGCATTGAAGATTACGTGTAGCAATCAAATTAAACAATTCAAATGACTGAGTCAGTAATTACGAAAAAACAAAAAATGAAACTGGAACACCAAGTGGAAAATATATTATGATGTAAGTCCCTTACCGGCTAGTAAGTTGTAAGTTACAATTTTAGTGCAAGGGCTGGTGATACTATCACCTAGTTGTCTAGACGGATGGAAGTGGAGCAGAACTCGAAATTGTGACCTGTCAGTCGAAAATCTACTGCTTCCATCACTAACCTAACGCTTCATTGGAGCGAAAAAATATGAAGTAATGTAGCTTCGAGAGGAAATTCTTGGACTTTTAGTGAGAAGTCGTGACCAGTAAAGTTCAATCGTGTCGGATGTAAGGCAGTTGCCCACTGAAGACAATAGATAGTCGGGCTTTATTGTGGATTGATTGAAGTTAGACATTAACACCGTTGGACGCCGGCTCAGTGGTCTAGAGGTTAAGCGTTCGCCCGCGAGACCGAAGGTCCTGGGTTCGATTGCCTTATGTGGGGTCGTAGATGTTAACTTCTGAGGGGTCCCATACTAAGATGAAACGGCCGTTCAATGCTTCCAGGTTTTCAATGGCAGTCCAACATTGATCAGTTCATGCCTTCAATGAAATTCAACAATCTCCACAACTCTATACTTACAAATTACGATTGTTAGAAAGAAAGAAATATGCAACTTTGTAACTTATTGTAATATTGGTTAATACAATTAAATCTAGTTCAGTAAATTTAAATTTGTATATAGACCTATTAAGTAAATCAGATGTAATTCAGTATATTTTGAATCAATGTTGGATTTGTGTTTGAAGAGTAATAAACTCTTCATCTGCAGTTTTGCCTTCTTTCTTAAATCGAACCGTATAAAACAATGATTAGTTATTACAGGGAAAATAACCAGCTTTGTCCGGAGGATATAGGAATTAGCTATACTAGTATTTGTCTAGTTCAACAATAATAAGCGAAAGAAATATACGATCACCACTGAGTAAACCATAAGATTCATAAAAAAACTCACCATCTTTTAATCGAGCTTTAACTGCTTGTTCTAATAGATCTACAGCAGCGGTCCACTGAGACTTTGTATGTACAGTATGATCGTCTAAAGCATTCGATTGTATGACACGCTAAGATGAAATTAATTAATTACAATAACAGAAGTATTCGGGAAAAATATGTAATAGAAATATAAATTTATCAATTCACAAGTGTTTGATTAGAAAGTCCCATATATTGTATTTATTAATAACCATGGGATAAATATTCAAATAGTCGATTATTTTAAAACCATAAGGTCATTATTAAGAAACCAAACTAAGTATTTGATAAAAGCGTGCTAAATAAGTTATCAGACAACTGCATCTCTGTGCTAATGTGGTGTGGCAACTCGAACTGATGTACGTACGTATGAAGTTCTACGTTGTTAATGACTGAAATAAGTTATCAAGTGACCTCGGAAATAAACAACCAGTATGGAGTTGGTTATATTCCGCGTGAAGATGTTAGCATACCAACAGAAATCTGAAGTAATTCGTAAAACGCAACAGAAAATGACTTGAAAAACGAATATTTCTATGTTTTCAGTGCGTGCAAATTCAGTCAACAGGTAAAATGAAGTTGTCACAAAACACACTAAATATGGCCTTTATTTATAAACTTCACATGCTCGAAATATTTTGAAGTAAATACTTGGGGTAATTCTCTTCTTCCAAAGTAGACCTAGAATCCTATTTTTCGACCTGCAGTAAACTGCTGAAATTTTACGATATACTTTAATTGTCTCTAATGGAGGGACAGTTTGTTGAAGATATAAAACCTCATTTCAACTTAGACCACTCGTTGACTAACAGACTCAAGTTTTCCCGTTTAACATGAGTTTTTCCCAAATTGTTTACACAAGCAGTGAAGACATTTGACAAACTTCGAGCTTTCAAATTACCTGACTCTCTCTGAAAAATAAACTAACCACAACTTGGATAAGCAGAGGACAGGTCGAATTTTACTGTAAACAGAAAAGACGATCAGACAAGGAGAAAAGTAGTCAGTGTTTCTGATGACTTCAACACACAACTAAGAGAAATAAGTTGAACGTAAGATGTTATTTGGTTCATGAATTTGAAATACCAGAGAAAGATAGTTTGTTACACCACTAGTATTAAATGTATATATGAAAGAAAATGCATAAAAATGGTAAACTTACCAATCTGGATTCAGCTTTAGGATCCCAGTGATGACGCTTACGAATTTCTTGATGTACAGTCACTTTTAATGGATCAAATACTGGATCATAACCAGGTACATCTTTCATCGTTTTTAATTTACTATCCAGTTGATTGTATAATGTCTGCAAACCAATTTCAATAGAAGCTTTCGGTAAATTATTTTCAACCCAATCACGAAGCCAAATATCAACGTTTGTCTGAAAGGTTCTAGGAATTGCAACAATCAAATAAATCTAGAAAATACTGACTATTTTGTTGATTTTGATCAACATAAAGTTTTTAACTAGTGATTTTACGGTGCAAATTTGCATATATGCTACAAAACCTTTAAAATAGGTGACTAATAATTTGGGAAAAAAAATTAATTCACTGTAACTCGGTTGGATAAGTGAAAAAATGTGTTTACACATATCTGTGTTGGCCGAATGTACTAGGTGCTATTTAAACAAAAATTTGAAGAACATAATTTGAGTACGGGACACACTAGCCAAAAGTCAAGTAATTAAGTTAGGATGAAAGCTCAGTAGCATATGCAGCACTAGAAGAGGTTGTAGGCAATAGATAAACCCCACACTTTGTGTTTATTGAATATATGGACCTGCCTATTTGGTTAATGATAGAAAGGGTCAGTTCCCTATTTTTAAATGTTCTTCGTACGTGGATAAGGTGACATATGCACCGCATGAATTTCACACTGAACATTAATTGCTGAACGTGACGCTGAGAATGACCGGTCAAAACTGGCCAGATATGATAGATATTTCATACTGTAAATAAATAACTTGATTAGCTTAGCTTACCTAGGATAAAATAACGATAATTCTGTGGTATTGTCTGATATGATGGGCAACGTTTGCATTTATTGGAGAGTGTGCAATCAAAAACGGATATTGTTCAGTTGGTTGTAGCATCTAATTATATTTAGTTTATGTTAATATTTGTACATAATCATTTCATTTAATGTATGTAAAAATCTATTCCGGTGAGTAGCTATTCTGTCTCAGTTGGGTGTCTACATCAATCGTTTGGTCTCATGAGCAGTTATCAATCGACTACATTGTACAAATGTGTATTATCAGCTGATTAGCATTGGATCTATTGATTTCATAATCTCCCGAATGTCTTTCGTTACTAATTATCAGATTCTAATTCACAACATTATCACTAGGATTGCAATAATCGGGGTTATTGAATCAAATACTGTATTTTCCAACTCAGTCTAGATAATCGGATGGAATTTGAAACTTGCACACAATAACTATAGATAGCAAAGGCGTACATAGAATTAGACTTAATTACTGAATTTAGGCTAGTGCCAAAGCTTGAGGAAACAGAAGTTCGAATAGTAAAAGATTTACCATATTTTTTTCGTTACATAGTTAATTTAAAATAACACCAACGATGCATCATACATAAAAAACAATTTACAAAAACCTTACCCTATATCGTCAATGTGCTGTGAGGGTTCAATTATTTTAGTGAATATATAATCTTTTAGTTTGTTCCATAATTCGTAATGAATATTTTTCTCCCATACAGTGGAGCTGATACCATTTAATGATATTAGGTCATCTAATATATTGTTACGAGCTTTTTCAAATAATTCTTCACGATCCATTTCACGTAAATGAGGAAACGAATTTTTCCATTCTGTTTCAAGATTATAACGAATAGCTATATTTTTGGAAAAAAGAATTATTGATATCTTTAATGAAGAAACATTTTCGAAAACTATAAGTTTCATTTACGAAAGTTCAGATAAGCGGCTACATGTATTGAAATTAGGTTTCGTTCCTGCATATTATGAACAGATGATGACGTGCACCTTTCCGAGTTGACACTTTTGACAGAGTGGTGCTCGGCGACCCACTTAGAAATTTTAAAAATCGGTGCATGAGGTTGCCAATTACTCAACAATAAATATTGTAGAGAACAATCGAGACTCCTAATATAGTAGAATCACCTGGATCTAGATGTTTTTAAATACGTATATCAAAAACAATATACATGAAAATCAGTAACAAAACTTGGAAACTAGACATAAAACCTGATTGGGTTTCAAAAGCTGTGATATTTATTAACTAAACTAAGAGTTTCTTGATGCAATCGACAAGTGAGAGTAGAAACAGAGGCTATGAAAAAACTAATTTTTACTTAAGAACGTTAAATCAATTTATGATATACGTGAATGATAAATACTTGCATTATTGCGAACTCATGTGAAATTATCATCACTTTTCTTATATAGAACAGTATTTTATTTATTTATTTGGACACATGAATATTGGTACAAGAGAGCGCCAATATATATGTGCCACACAAAACAATGAAAATTCCAGAGGAATACAAAGAAAGAAAAAAAATGCTAAGGAGCGCAATAAAAAAAAGAGAGAACAATAACGAAGAGATTGGTGTAAGGTAATGTGCTAGTAATCAGGGAACGGAAAGGTACAATCAGAAGAAATCTTTCAGGTAAAGGAGACACAACCACTTTTTATGAAGAAAGTAAAAGAAGGTTACAGCAGGATCGCCACTGGCTTCTATTCTGAGCCATATCTGATAACGTCTCTAGCCACTGTGTAGCACCATCTCTTGGACCCCGGCCAGGGAGTCGTGAAGGACCGACACAAGCCAGTTCTTTGCAGCTTTCTTTCATGCCACGACACCATGTCATGCACTGACCACCTCTCCGCTTCTTCCAACCAGTCCCAGAGTCGGCAAATAATGCACGACGTGGAATTCTCTGGGACGACATTCGTAGAACATGTCCAAGCCACCGAAGTCGGTGTTTCAAGATGGTGACACCAATTGAGTTATCATCTCTGTGCCCGAACACACGATGCCGAACCTCTGCATTACTGACATGGTGTTGCCACTGAATGTCAGCAACCCTTCGGAGACAGCGATGATCGAACACAGAGAGTCGTCTAACGTCCTCAACTCGGAGAGGCCAGGTTTCACAAGCATAGAGCAAAACTGCTCTCACCGACGCGTTGTAGATCCGACCTTTTACAGCCAGACTAACATCACGAAGGCGCCAAGGATGGCCCAGATTGGCATAAGCCGCTCTGGCTTTCACTATACGTGCATTGATCTCATCACTCACACCCCCACCAGCACTTATGCGGCTACCCAGATACACGAACTTCTCGACTACGTCTATCTGCTCACCATCCAGGGTGAGTACAGGATTAGAATCCTGCCAGTCTTGTAGAAGTACTTTGCACTTCGAAGGTGCAAAGCACATACCATACCTACGGACACTGATCGCCAACTGATTAAGTGCGGATTGCATGCCTTGGGCATTATCGCACAGTAAGACAATATCGTCCGCATACTCAAGGTCGAGAAGTCTTTCTCCAGGCAACAGATCCACACCACCATTACTTACATTCATCAGAGCTGTTTCCAGAATGTCATCGATGGCAAAGTTGAAGAGGAATGGTGAGATTGGGCAACCCTGCCTAACCCCACTGCTCGAATGGAACAATGGAGAGAGGTGGTTGTATGCCCTCACTCTGCCTGAGGTGTTTTTATATAGAGCTTTTAGGATGTTAATAAACTTCTCAGGCACACCCTTCTTCAATAGACAATCCCAGAGAACAGTCCTGTCCAACGAATCGAAGGCAGCCCTGATGTCAAGAAACACTACGATTGTTGGACTTTGAAAAGTATGGCGGTGTTCTAACATTTGGAGGAGGGTGAAGATATGATCAATACATCCTCGACCGGAACGAAACCCAGCCTGCTCCTCTTGAGTCAATCTTTCTCGGGTTTTGAACAACCTACGAAGAATGACGGAAGCCAATAGCTTGGACGCAATCGGAAGTAAACTTATCCCCCGATAGTTGTTACAGGAACGACGTGAACCCTTTTTAAAGATAGGGACAACTATCGACTCATTCCATGACGTTGGTACACTCTCTAGTTCCCAAACCTTTGTAAACAACGTCGTCGATTCCTTAGTCAAAAAGTCACCACCATCTTTAAAAAGAGCCGGAGGTAAGTCATCTGGGCCAGGTGATTTGTAACGCTTCAAGAGTTGGAGTTCCTTGCAGACTTCCGCCTCATTTGTTGGATCAGTCGTCACCGGCCATGGAGGGCAGGACAGTCTGATCGATGTTGCCGAAGCAGCAGGTCAGTTGAACTGCCCTTCGAAAAATTCTACCCATCGTCCAAGACGTCGATGGATGTTAGTGATTGGCATCCCATCATCCTCGCAGATTGTTTCACTCACACCAGACTTCTTGCTGCCAGTGGCTCGGATGAGTTGGAAGAGCTTCCGGTAGTTACCAGATGCAGCTGCTGCTTCCAGCTCATTAGCACGCATCGACCACCAGGCTTCTCGGTCCTTACGCAAGCTTTGCCCGATTTCCTTACGTAACATCCTTCGTTTATGGTCAAACTCACGGTCACCCGGAGTAGGCCGACGGGCTTCAATGAGTTGTAAGGAACCAGAAGAAACCCAGTGCTTAAAAGCGGGACGTTTCGCAAACCCACAACTGACTGTTCCCGCCATTTTCATGGCGTCATGCAATTGCAACCAATGCTCATCTATACTTTTCGGTGGAGTGGTAGCTAGCCTAGAGGCTAGCTCGGTTCGATACTTACTTGCAACAGAAGTTGCAACCAGCTTGCTAACATCAATCCGTTGATGGCGTTCACTTCGTTGTCCACTGAAAAGTAAGATAAGATTGGCGCAGACCAAGGCATGGTCAGAGTCCAGATAGGTACTCCAAAAGGAGCGGCAGTCTTGTACACAACCACGCCAGCGGTAGCTGATCGCGATGTGATCAATCTGAGTCCAGGCTTGAGATGCAGAAGGAGGACGCCAGGTGGCACATCGGCGATGACTGTGCCGAAAGTTAGTCCTAGCCAGAAACAGGTTGTGGTCTGTGCAAAGTTGCAGTAGACGGTCCCCGTTATCTGACCTGCGACCAACGAGTCCCCATTGGCCACCTAAACGACTCTCTTCTGTGCCTAGACGCCCGACCTGAGCATTCAAGTCTCCGGCTAGTACTACAATATCTGTCGAACGCACTTTCTGGAGAAGAACAGATAACTGGTGGTAAAACTCATCCTTGATTGCATCCGGGCTGCAATCTGTCGGGGCATAGGCGGAGATGACGAAAAGACATCGTTTCTCACGCCGATTTCTTCTCACTTTGATGGAACTTTCTAATCTAACAGCACATAACCGACTGTTAATGGGGATCCAATCGACTAGTGCTGCCTGAGCTCTAGCGCTTAGTGCGACACCAACGCCAGCAAGACCAGACGAAGATGCCACAGGGTCCCCGGATAAGCGCACGTAAAACAAGCTTTTCGAAGCGACAGATGGAGATCGAATTTGTAGTACTTCGCCAGAGTCTTGAATACGGGTCTCGGATAGACAACACACGTCGATATTAAGACTTTCCAAAGACATAGCCAGCCCTATCTATTGTCCGACCTGCATAAATGTGCGAACGTTGAAGGCAGCCAGTTTGAATGGCGCACGTGGTTTCAGAAAAACTGCTTCAGTACTCATATTCGATGGTAACATACAATTTTCAAACGGACAGTGACTCGAGAACGTTTAGATACAGTCGGATTTCCACCAAAGACGAGCCGCTGTATAAGTATAAAGGAGGGTGAATAATGTGGAAAGTAATAACAATAATAATAATAATAATAATAATAATAATAATAATAATAATAATAATAATAACAATGACAATACTAGTAATAATAATAGTATTAATAATGACAATAATAGTAATGATAATTATTTGAATCGACTGATTGTTTTTCGGAGCGAGAAAAGTGGTTGCCATAGACATAGAGTTCATCGTTTGTGTGTGGGCTGTGATACTGCCCGGGTGCCCAAACCGAAGCAGGTGGTTTTCTTAGGGGGCCACTCCCCGAGCCTTTGACCTAAAGGTCTAACCCACAAGGCAGTGGAGCATCGTAGGGAGATCCAATCCCATGGTAGCCGGTGACCAAAGATTGGTTCATACGCCATTTGTTCCCGCAGGATACTGGAGCCCATGTGCAACATTAGTTTGGAATCTGGTTAAAGCGCCGTACATTCGCTTTTCGTCCTCATTTTCGTAAACAACACCCCCGCCACGAGAAGGCAGTGAGTAGGACTTCCCTGGCAGAGGCTGTATACGCGCGGCCGTGTGAGAGTATTTCGAGAGGGAGAGCGGACTCACCCCACTCTCGACCGTACCAGGGCATTCGAAACGAAGAACAGTCTTTAAAGACTGCGATAACCACCATTCTTGTTTTAAGTGCTAAAAACTATTCTACTCATTCCAGGAAGCATGAAAGGAGATAACTGATTCAAAAATCACCTAGAGGTAAATTGACGAAAACTGCCCTTATAAAATATGGACAACTTAATTTGATGTTGCGCAAACAGTAAAAGTACCGTATTGTGTTTTTTTAATTCTGAGTGAAACCTTACACAAGACTGATCCTATACTGTTGCTATTTCGTCTAAAATACGATTAGTTTGGATTGGACTTGGGTTTTTAGTGTCTTCATGGTATTCATTTGCATCTAAACATGAAGGAATAGCAGAAATTTGCTTTTATTTGCAACCTACCCTACTACGAATCTAATATTGTTTGATATAGATCAGGTAAGAAGTACTTATCAGTCCATCCCTCTTACACGTTAAATATTATTACCAAAAAAACGATGTCGTTCAGTCTTGAAAAGATTGCTTCACAGTCCTTTCACTTGAAAATATGCATGAAGATACATCAACAAGCTATATCGAGCTTGGACACTGAAATATTGTAATATTTAGAAGGATGTATATCAGTTGGTATAACAGACTTTTATTTGAATAATTCAGAAATTTCGTAAAATATTGCACTAAGGACTTGAAAGACCTTACATGACAGTGAGTTGGTCGGCGGAAAAGTCCTCACAGCATATTTTTCTTAGCAATGTGAAGACATTTGGGTAGTCGTTGAAATTTAAGGACTACTTAAAAACGCGGTAATCTAATAAACATAAAAAACAGTTATTCGTTAATCATTTACCTCTATATGTATCAGCTTGTTGTTCAACTGAATCTTTGACCATTTTCCAGAATCTCTCTGATACAGCCTTGCTAAGATTAGCTGTGGTCATCTGCGACATACGAAGTGTACCTTCTTTAAATAGACGAGAATGGCGAAAGAAATTCTCTTCATATTCTTTAATGCTATCTATACTTTCATCTTTTGTACCTAATTGATAGAAAGGGAATCAAAATGAAGTCCATAAAAGACCTACCTTTTCCTGTGACCACAGCAAAATAACCAAGTGCTTTCATAGGAAATAATTTACCCTCCAGAATTTGTCTGATCTATTATTAAAGAAAATTGATTTACAAAAATGATACATCTAAAAACTTACACGGTCTGGGCTGCGCAGATTTGATTCAGCCAAATCCACTTTGGTCAAAACAAAGATAGTTCGTTTACCTGAAGGATCTACAGAGGATACTAGATCTGTTACATTGCTACGCTCAGCATCGATACTCCCATCTTGGATAACAAGTAAATAAAAAAATTGATCGATGTAAAAGTGAGTATATAAAATATCGAGTTTCGAATCAGTGATTTCTAAAGCTAAATCAAATCATCTTTATTACAAGAAATACTGCTGTATTAAACGGATGAAGACAGTACATGTAAGCTTCTGAATCTACGTTTTCTGCTCGTTAACACAGGTTACTACGATACATAGGTAATCTTAAGGAAACTTATGTTAAGCTCGAATAGCTTAGTTTCAATGTCTTTGGTCATACCACTGGGTGACAACGGGTGGAGTAGATAAGAGAATACTACTTCCTACAGGATACTCCAACCTGTACAAAACCTAGGTCCAAAGCTTATTGGTGAGTTGTTAATCATTTAACACTGTACAAAGCGAATTGTGGTGCTAAGTCGCGTAGTTGACTAACAGTAATGCGAAATTAGTCGATAAAACCCGATCTTCATAAAGGACTAGATAAAATAATGTTGGCTACCTTTCAATAACTGGTGTAAACAGTACCATATAACCAGTATATTTCGTATATGCTGTTCGGTGAAAAAGCCAGTTATCTTTATACTTTCACAGCATCACAAGAATTATTAAATTCCAAATAGGCCTTTATTTATCTTACTTGGTACAATAAGACACCAGTATCTAACAGTCCAGGTCAATGTGAACTACAAAGTAATAGAAGATAATCTAAGCTACACATTTATTCATTAATCAATAAAAATTTAAAAAGAATGATAAATTGGATAGAAATTAGAAAATTACCGAATTAAATCTGGCGAATCGAAGAACAAGGAAAATATTACCAAGTATATGAAGACAGTTTAAGATTTACAAGTACCGCGAAATTAAAACAAATGAAAATATGACGCGACATAAACCTTACTAACCAGTTGACTCGGTTGAAACCGAGCTACTGATTAACTTACAAATAGTTGCCATGTAATTGATTTAGCCCGACGAAAGGAAGAGACATTATCCATACGGAAAAAGAGGGCTTGTCATTTAAATGGCAGAGTTCACACAACACAACACTGAAATGTGCAAACAAATCGTAAATTGATGCGCCTTAAAAGGCGTAATATAACGACAAATAAACTAACCTTGAACACATAAAATAATCGCATTCGGATTGTTCATATATTGTCGAGCAACATCCTGTATAGTTTCACGTGTACCAGACTGCATACCCGTTGTTACAGTAGAAATTATGCCAGGTAGATCAACAAGAACCATCCTCTGAAGCCCAGGCCCTTTCACATTTAGGGAAATGACGTCAGTGCTGACTGTTTTACCACCACTAACAAGTGCCTTCATACGCATCTACAGAATGAAACCAAGCATATTTTACGGAGCGCATTTTGAAAAATGTAACTAGCTTAGTTATCACATCTTGATACATGAAAAGAATTTGTATGACTGCAAAATCGTTTTTCTGAACAAATCGGCTTTGAATTTCGTTAAACAAATTTGTATAACATTATAGAGGGAAGTGAAAGTCATTATAGAAGCGAATAATTTGCAAAAGCATACGAGAAAACATCAGGGCACAAAAACCAAAATAATAGGTGAGTTACCAGTAAATCTTGAGCTGACTATTAAAACTGCAGTGCTGCAAATGTGAATTAGAGGTGGACAAATAGCTTTCTAAATAGGTAAATTTGCTGATTATCTGTATTAGCATGTCCCTTAGGTGGTTTTAAACTTTAGACAAACTCAGCCATCAAAACCGAGTCACTTATGAACAAAACAAAGCCTGGGACAAGTGTACATCGACTAAAATTACCATAACTTGGCAATATTATACCATCACAGAACAGGTTTGATTTACAAATCAGTGCGCGACTTTGTAAACGACTAATGATTTACGTAAATCATGTGGGTTTTGCATCATATCAATAAAACTTCGTAGTCAACAAGCCGATGATAAAGTTGTCTTATAACCACGTTCCCTTGAAACCCTTTACAGTTCACGACTAAGTCGTAATCATATCTGACGTCGCAATCACTGATTGTCTCAACATATAAGAAGGGGGCCAAACTCATCCCGTGACAACCGTAGAGGGATTAGTTTAACTAACAAAGCATCTAAAATACTAGCCTCAATAATTACCGGATGCCTAACATAGACTCTCGAACTTCAAATACGAGAAAATCAGGCTGGCTTTAAACCTGTTCGTGGCTGCATCAACCACATATCCGGCATTTATCAGATTTTAAAACACAGGCATGCTTATCAGCGTCCGACAGTGGTGGTCTTTCTTGACCTAAAAGCAGCATTTGACTCTGTAAACCGGGAGGTTCTGTGGCAGTGCCTATCATTGAAAGGCGTACCTGAGAAGTACATGAACCTTGTGAAGGCTCTTTACCCGAATGCTACTAGTCGAGTCAGAGCTTATGGCGAACCGTCATCTGATTTTCCAAACTCAAGTGGTGTCCAACAAGGCTGTTCACTTTCTCCATTCCTGTTTAGTTTCATCATACACCTACTGATGGAAATAACGTTCTCGTCGACTGAATTTTCAGGCATTGATCTACTACTGATAAAGTGCAGAGTCTTGTGGTAGCACTGAGCAACAATGCCAGAATGTTTGGGATGCGTTATCCCCCTCAAAATGCCAGTTGTTGCTCCAGAGAAACATGGTCATCAAGAGCAGAAGATACTCGTAAGCTACTAGTATTTGATCACAGATGCCTTAGAAATATTGCTGGCATCTGCTGGGATCACCAGGTAAGTAATAGCGAGGTTAGACACAGGGTATTAGGGAACGATGGTAAATCAGTTGATGAGGTTTTGAATCTTCATTGACTGAAATGATTGGGTCACGTGCTACGTATGTCTGAACACCTATTACCACGACGCGCAATGCTAACTAGTGTTGAAGACAGTTGGAAGAAAGTTGAGGGCCCCACATGCCCTGGTACGGCCGAGAGCGGGGTGGGTTCGCTCTCCTTCTTGAAATACTCTCACACAGCCACGCGTATACGGCCTCTGCCAGGGAAGTCCTACTCACTGTCTTCTCGAGGCGGGGGTGTTGTTTACGAAATTGAGAGGATGAAAAGCGAATGTCCGGCGCTTTACCCGGGTTGCTGGACATGGAGAGTCCATCTAGGGGAGTTGAAAATTTATTATTATTTATTTATTTGAACACATGAATATTGGTACAAGAGAGCGCCAATATATATGCGCCACACAAAACAATGAGAATTCGAAGAGAAGTAGAAAAAAAAAACTAAGGAGCGCAAAAGGAAAAGAGAACAATGACGAAGAGATTGGTGTAAGGTAGTGTGGTAGTAACGACGGAACGAAAAGGTACAATCAGAAGAAATCTTTCAGGTAAAGGAGACACAACCACTTTTTATGAAGAAAGTAAAAGAAGGTTACAGCAGGATCGCCACTGGCTTCTATTCTGAGCCATATCTGATAACGTCTCTAGCCACTGTGTAGCACCATCTCTTGGACCCCGGCCAGGGAGTCGTGAAGGACCGACACAAGCCAGTCCTTTGCAGCTTTCTTTCATGCCACGACACCATGTCATGCACTGACCACCTCTCCGCTTCTTCCAACCAGTCCCAGAGTCGGCAAATAATGCACGACGTGGAATTCTCTGGGACGACATTCGTAGAACATGTCCAAGCCACCGAAGTCGGTGTTTCAAGATGGTGACACCAATTGAGTTATCATCTCTGTGCCCGAACACACGATGCCGAACCTCTGCATTACTGACATGGTGTTGCCACTGAATGTCAGCAACCCTTCGGAGACAGCGATGATCGAACACAGAGAGTCGTCTAACGTCCTCAACTCGGAGAGGCCAGGTTTCACAAGCATAGAGCAAAACTGCTCTCACCGACGCGTTGTAGATCCGACCTTTTACAGCCAGACTAACATCACGAAGGCGCCAAGGATGGCCCAGATTGGCATAAGCCGCTCTGGCTTTCACTATACGTGCATTGATCTCATCACTCACACCCCCACCAGCACTTATGCGGCTACCCAGATACACGAACTTCTCGACTACGTCTATCTGCTCACCATCCAGGGTGAGTACAGGATTAGAATCCTGCCAGTCTTGTAGAAGTACTTTGCACTTCGAAGGTGCAAAGCACATACCATACCTACGGACACTGATCGCCAACTGATTAAGTGCGGATTGCATGCCTTGGGCATTATCGCACAGTAAGACAATATCGTCCGCATACTCAAGGTCGAGAAGTCTTTCTCCAGGCAACAGATCCACACCACCATTACTTACATTCATCAGAGCTGTTTCCAGAATGTCATCGATGGCAAAGTTGAAGAGGAATGGTGAGATTGGGCAACCCTGCCTAACCCCACTGCTCGAATGGAACAATGGAGAGAGGTGGTTGTATGCCCTCACTCTGCCTGAGGTGTTTTTATATAGAGCTTTTAGGATGTTAATAAACTTCTCAGGCACACCCTTCTTCAATAGACAATCCCAGAGAACAGTCCTGTCCAACGAATCGAAGGCAGCCCTGATGTCAAGAAACACTACGATTGTTGGACTTTGAAAAGTATGGCGGTGTTCTAACATTTGGAGGAGGGTGAAGATATGATCAATACATCCTCGACCGGAACGAAACCCAGCCTGCTCCTCTTGAGTCAATCTTTCTCGGGTTTTGAACAACCTATGAAGTATGACGGAAGCCAATAGCTTGGACGCAATCGGAAGTAAACTTATCCCCCGATAGTTGTTACAGGAACGACGTGAACCCTTTTTAAAGATAGGGACAACTATCGACTCATTCCATGACGTTGGTACACTCTCTAGTTCCCAAACCTTTGTAAACAACGTCGTCAATTCCTTAGTCAGAAAGTCACCACCATCTTTAAAAAGAGCCGAAGGTAAGTCATCTGGGCCAGGTGATTTGTAACGCTTCAAGAATTGGAGTTCCTTGCAGACTTCCTCCTCATTTGGTGGATCAGTCGTCACCGGCCATGGAGGGCAGGACAGTCTGATCGATGTTGCCGAAGCAGCAGGTCAGTTGAACTGCCCTTCGGAAAATTCTGCTCACCGTCCAAGACGTCGATGGATGTTAGTGATTGGCATCCCATCATCCTCGCAGATTGTTTCACTCACACCAGACTTCTTGCTGCCAGTGGCTCGGATGAGTTGGAAGAGCTTCCGGTAGTTACCAGATGCAGCTGCTGCTTCCAGCTCATTAGCACGCTCCGACCACCAGGCTTCTCGGTCCTTACGCAAGCTTTGCCCAATTTCCTTACGTAACATCCTTCGTTTATGGTCAAACTCACGGTCACTCGGAGTAGACCGACCCTGATTCCAAACCAACGGTGTATATAGGCTCCAGTATCCTGAGGGAACAAATAGCGTATGAACCAATTTTTGGTTACCGGCTATCATGGAACTGCATCTCCTTACGATGCTCCACTACCTTGTGGACCAGACCTTCAGGTCGAAGGCTCGAGGTGTGACCCCTTAAGAAAACCACATGCTTCGGTTTGGGCACCCGGGAAGCATCACAGCCCTCACACAAATCAAATGGGATTTGTGTGGTGCATACATATCTGGTGCCTCCTTGTACCAATATCTATGTGTTCAAATAAATAAATAATAGGGAAGGGCAAACCAAAGCTTGGCATCGGTCATTGAAATCACTAACTTCTGGTCTGAGCCATGCTGGTGGATGCAAACTACTTGGTTGGGGTCCGCGTGACTGTCGTAACCAATGGTTGGAGACTGCGGGTGACATGACTCAGAGTCGATCACAATGGTGTTGGTGTATACACTCTTTGTCTTCCCTTAAACTATGAGATTAAAATCGCTTCACATATTTCTTTCAACCAACTAATTATTTCTTCCTGTACTATATCCTTAAATGAAATCTTTCTTTTATATATTACCACCATTGTTGTGCTAATGAGGTATGGCAGCCTGGACCGATGCATATATGTGCCTGGTCCTACGTTGTAGCTGACTGACTAACGACTAAGTGCTTCAAATAGTGTACACACGCCAGAACATACAAGAACTAATGAACAATTTTGACAGTCATTAACAGCGACAACACTCCATCAATATATGGTCAAATTGTAGTAAGTAAATGACATCATAGGATAGATGAGTTTGACAACTCATACACCGAAATTGAGACAAGCTCGTATGTGCCTAATGAGTATAATTCTTGAATAATCTTTCCCTACTCAGGGGTAGATTCCTTAGTGGAAATTATCTTTATAGTTTACAGTGGACAAACGAAATAGCTGTTTGGCGGAAACATGGGCGAAATCCAGTCTCCTTGAATAACTTGAGTATCGATAAAGAACGTTCGAAGTGAATGGCGAACGGTAATTAGCCAGTCAATCAAAAGCAACATAGTAATCTGCTAACGACATTGTATAATTTACCAATAATTATTCTTGACACTAAAAAGCAAAACATAAGTTTAAGAACCTTCTCCACAATATATATACCCTTTGACCCGTTTACCTAACCTGGTCCGTAATGCAGGTTAACATAAAAAAGGTTGCAAGGTTTATCGCAATCATGCTACAGTGCTGATTAATTATCTAATTAATTGACCGTTTACTTAACGAAACCTTGTTAATTGATGAGGATACTGTTGTTTACCCAGCGACTTTATAACAGGTTAGAACCAAGAGATATCCTAAAGACCTTCAAAATACCGATATGTTTAAATAAACACGGAATATCATAAATACGATGGTGGCTTTACAGGGATCTGTCTTTTTACTAGTTTATTTGCACTGAATCAATACAACGGAAAACCTTATATTTACGTACTACACTAATAATCTTTGAAAAGTAAACAGTAATCATAATGTGAACAGCTGGTAAGAATAATTAGGAACCTCAAACTAATGCAAACTTCATGAACCAATTAGGGTGGAATCACTAACCTCTATCTCTTTCCTCAACGATGCAAGTTCGGACTCTTTTGTGAGATCGTATTCACGTGAACCATCTTTGAATGAAGCAACATGGTATGGGCCCTCAGAAAGAGTTACTTTGACCGGAGATCGTGTCATCATCTCTCCACCGCCTCTTGGAAATATCCGAGCCTGTACTATCATTTCTAAAACAGATGTTTTCCCAGAGCTTTGATCACCAACAACAACCACTCTTGGTAATTGGTCCTACGAAGTACATGGGAAGACAAATTATGAACAGATATAGTTAAAAATGGAACTTGGCTCTAAAAACAACTTTATGTCCCTCAAAAAGTTTTCCACAGTTACCTGAGCATTGTATGCAGAATCCAAATCTGATAGTTCATCCAATACTTCTGAATACATATCAATCAAAGATTTCTAGGAACAAGTTAAGCTAGGACTCGCTGACATACGTTGATACGACCTTTTTGTAAAGATTTCTGAGACTTAAGAAGAAGTTCACTGCGCAACTCCCTATTCTCCTGAAGCAGTGCTTCAATCCGTCTATGGAACGCTAACTGAGACAATAAATAATATAATCTTAAATACCTCGTTCTTCAGAAGAGCTTCTTGCAATTCTTCAACACTAATTTGCTTGGGCTTTTGTTTAACAGGCTGAAGTTATTTACGTTTTTTCGTGCAGTATTACCTTTTTTAGATCATCATTAGTATCAGAAACGAGCGATGATGAGGGAGCTTCTGTAACAAAATATGGTCAATTCAATATTTCAAAACCTTTCACAGCTTCATGTTCATTTGGTACATGGAGCTTCTTTTCAAAACTCGAAAAAAAACCAGAGCCAGACTAAAGCAGCAACCATTAACGTACTTCAGGAACATACTGTTTCAGATTCACCGATAGATGCAGCATATTCTTTAAAAAGCTGAATTGTTTCGTTGATCCTATCTATTGGTAGGTAGTCTTCTAAGGTTATTTTCGACAAGGAATCTTTGAATTCGTCATATTTCTGAACTTATTAAGGAAATAAAGCGTAGTACCTTAGATATCGTGTACGAGCCACCAACACCCGCACCCACAACAAGGTAGCGTAGCTTTAAAAGTCTTGATGCCAGCTTTCCGATTTGGCCAGCTATATTTCTTTTCTGAAAAACCAAGGGACCGACATTATTGCAACTTCTAGCCAGCATTTCTAATCAAAATCACTAAACGTTTGAAATCATGCCGAAATTTACGAAGCGCACAGTCGGAAAACAGCGCTTAGTTTTGTCCAATAAATCCTAAATTCAATATGCTAGTTAAAAACTAGTATGACCAGTTAAGTGCTTAACACGCTTATTTTGAAGCCAAAATATTGTGAATGGCTTTTAATCAATGCGGTTTATCCCGCTATTTGGCTACAGCATTTCAATCTTTAGATCTTGCAGCAGTTAATAAATCCCCAGAATAAATAGCCCTGTAAGTTTTCGACATTAGATGCTGATCACATTAGTTTTAATGGACTCACCTAGCTGAAGGAACTCGTTCATGCATCCGCACCAGTTCACGAGTGGGAACGCCGTGCTCAACAACCCCTGCAATTGCTGGCCAGATTAGACCAGATTATCCTCGATATTTTGATAGTCTATCTAATATATCTTCGAACGTCCTCTCTTCTGTCTTTTGATTTTACTTGGTAGGTACGATTCATATTAGACATGTGGTGTGTGCTACTTATATTGACGTAAGTAATATATGACTTTGGTCTTGAAGAGGTCTGGCAGCAGAGAGACAAGAGTATCGAACAGTAAACAATGGAAACAGGATGCAGTTTTTATGAAAATGCAAGAACAGTGAAGTCTGAGTCATTTTGAGACAATTGGTGGACATTTTGCAAATTAAGCACTTACTCTATGATTGTTAGATTTTATTAACAAGTCCTATAATTTTGTGTTGAATACATTCCACAGTGGTGTCCACAGTGGTGTTCTAGTTCACTACAGGTGTTACTGGTTAAAGCGTTATCAAACTCCGAATACCTGTGGAATCTTCAATGTATAGGTCAATGGTTGAAAAATGTACCTAAGCGCTCAAATGTCATCATACAGTACATCCCACGTAAAAAAATATATCGGTAAACAATGCTGAGTTTACGTGGCTTCAGGTGTAAATTGTTACATTTTTGTAAAGTTGCTTGGTGGTAAATATATTTTAACAATAATTATTCGACATTGATGCTGATATTCAGAACTAGTTCTCGGGGTAAAAAGTAAATGGTCTATGGTTCCCAAGATAGTCTGTGAACTTATTCCATCATATCAATAGAAGGAAATAAAGAAGTAATGAAATTCTTTCGGTTTTTCATTAAAAGCATGTAGCAATAAGTAGTTTTCACGATGAATCGTTTTGTAGGTATTCGACATTGATTCTGACCTCATTGGCTTCACTGGACACACCTCAACTAAAGGCGCTCAGTCACGCTCCGCACCAGATTATGAGTGTGAATGACGTGCTGTGCATCCCTTGGAACTAGTAGTCGTCTTAGATCAAACGTTCCTCAACATATGGATAGCTTTCAAAATATGTCAAAACCCTCTTCCATTTTGATAGCTGATTTGACTATATTGCTATCCTTCGATTGTGACAGTGTCACGAGTACGTGCATCGTCCAATTCGGAATGCCTGTGGCGTCTTCAGATGTAACATGCGTACATCAGTCACTTATGTTTTCTTGAAACCTAAGGAAACGCGAACCACGCAAATAGTTCAGTAAGCGTGTTTATGAACACAGAACAAGTGTTAACGATGACGTGTGTATCACCAAAACAATAGTAAAAAAGAAAAAGAGAAAAGTTAAAAAACAAATGAGGAATTAAGACACTATTGCAATAAGATTTTTTTGATAGGATTATTGTTATCACAGTTATAGTTTGGGATGATGCCATGAAATTCTCAATTATTTGTAAAGTATAATCAAATATGTATGAGTCATATATAAATGGTGAAGATAAAAGGAATCTTAAAAGTCAAATTAATCATGTGTAACACAAGTTGTTGTTTTTATTACACACCTCTAAATATTAGAAAAAATATTTATTTAAAAGATAAAAAAGACAGAAATGAAATGAATGCCTCTTGACATGGTTCAACCATATAATAAGAATGTGATAAATATCGACCTCTGAAGTAAACCATTCATATTTTAAATCTTCTAGTGCACTTGGGTGAATATATGGTAATCCCTATGATAGAATTCAGAGTAAAATATGGTATGAGCATAAACTTTTGCGCAGTAATAGTTTAGGACGGTGCTACGAAAGTCACAATTACTTGAAAGGATAATCAAATTTCAACTTCTATGTGTTATATATATATATATATATATATATATGGTGAACATAAAACGAATCTGAAAAGCTAATTTATTTAAATGTAACGCATGATAATTTGCTTTTAGTTATAAAGTTTGGATGTTCAGGAATAAAGTGTTTTTAGAATGAAAAGAAGGAACGGAAAGAATATCGAATGTATCGGGCGATCAATCATGATAATAATGACAATAATAACCATAAATACGAGCACAAACAGATTTCAGATATTAAGATGAACAGAAAGAAAACAAAGCAAAATATGCGAGAAGTTTCAAAGGTTATACTTTGCGTTTCAGTCAATTGGATTGATGACGGATCTTATTTGTATAAATTATTGTTAAACACTCTGATATTGTATAAGTGACACAATCCATTTTCGGAAAGAAGAACATCAACGAGACTTCTTAACCGGGTTATAGTTTCACGGCAACGGAGGTTCGCTGGTAGTCTGTTCTGCATGACTGGGTAGCGAACAACGAAAAAATCCTGGCGTAAGCTTGTGCAAGTTCTCGGGACCGCGTAGGTTATGGGATGACATTATAGAGTACGAAGGAGTGGATGCCGAAGAATAGGAAATACCATTTGTAAGTCGATATATGGAGACAAGGTTTAATTTGATACGTCTGATCCATAGACGCTGTAATTTGAGTTCTTGACATCTTTGCTGATAATGCTTGTTGTCGGTACAACCCAAAACAGCCTTAGTGGACCTTTTTTGAACATCCTCAATTTTAACCTGGTTATTATGCCTTCAATTACTACAAACTAAAAATATATAAGATGCATTTTTGTATAGTAACAATCTTGATTCGATATTATTCAAGTTTATTATTATGAATCCGATGACCTTTCCAGCTTTTGATACTTGAGATGCAATGTGCTCAGAAAAGTTCAAACTGCTGTTATATCTCAAACTCAAGTTACAAACATTTTTGAAAGCTTTCAGTGTATGTTTGTGTTTAGACGGATTTAGGTTAAGGCAGCGGCCAATGTGAATAAATCCACTTATGTCAACATTCGGTGTTAGATTACACGAAACAGTCCATTGGTACAACTTGTTTATTTCTTCATAGATTACCGCAGAATTTAGATTTCTTTGGCGGTAGAAAAGAATGAATAAAGTTCTACTCAGTGAAAAAACAGTGATGAAACAAAGGAAGTTAAATGGGCCAATCACACTTCCTTGTATAACACAACTGGTTACATTCACAAGCTCTGAGTAACAAAATCCGAAGCGAACGATTTCGCTACGTTTTGCTAAAAAGGATTTGTGCCGAGACAAAAGGGGATTCTGTATGCCAAATCAAGAAAGTTTTAGGACACGAAGTTTGTGTGAAACACTGTCGAAGACCTCACCAAGAGCAAAGTACTGTCACTGACTAACCAACATCTCTTTTCTGGGTGATTTGATCTCTCAATTCAAGGTGCGATATGAGGGACGAACGTTGCTGTTGGTTGACAGTTGTTTTGAGTTCCAGATGTTCTTCAATTGTAAATATGCTGCTTTTTCGTTGCTCATTCTCGCCTCCACATCCGCATCAGATCCACCATGTTCACCAATGATGCTGTCCAGATATGTGAAAGTTTTTACATCTTCAAAATCTTCTCCGTCAAGTATGATTCGATTGTTGCATTCTGTGTTGTATCGGGGGATCTTGCTTTCCTCTTCGTGTATGTTGAGATCTACTGCTGCTTAGGCTGCTGCTACACTGGTCGTTTTCTCCTGCATTTGTTGTTGCGTGTGCGATATAAGTGTAAGATCCAATCTACGGTTTGGACTACTGAATAGCCTTCCAGGTACGTTAGACACGCACCCTTTTCCGTCGAAATCAAAACAAGTAATCGGGTAAATAGCGGTTCTATAATTCATCATAGATTTAAATGTAAATCGTTACCCAAACAAATATTACCACCCGGCTATTCAACCAATAATTGTTCAATCAATCAAATCTAAATTACAATAAATAAAGGAGTTGATGAAAGATGAGGGAAAATGACCAGTCACAACAAATGAACGTTATTCTATCCTGACTGGATAGAACACACACTAAAGGAGGAGCAAATCAATATGGCTACCGCCAAGAACAAGTGTCAAGTAAAACAACACAGATGCAGTTCAGGAAGAAACATAAACTTAGTGAATGCGTAAGAAAAACAAAAACTATAATAAAAAATACAAGTATTAACAATTCAAATGTAATCAAAAGACAACAATGTACAACTAAGGGGATCAATAGGAACAAAGTGCAAGTATATACATGGAGGGATTTTCACAAACACACAAAGCATTCAAAATGGATCTTACAAAAAGAACCAGATCATCTACGAAGTCTAGGTCGTCCAGCTGCATTCTAGCTGTCCACTGTATCCCATGCTTCTCCTCAGATATTGACGTCTTCATGATCCATCCATTCGATCACCAGGAGAATGAAGATGTGTGAGAGTAAGCAACCTTCCCTGACACCGGCCTTTACCTCGAACGAGTCTGTCAACTGTCCTCCATGCACAATTTTGCAGTTTAATCCATCATAGGAATTCCGTATGATATTGACTATCTTCTCAGGTACGCCGTAGTGTCGAAGAGGCTTCAATAGTGTTGTTCTGTTCACGTTATCAAATGCTGTTTCGTAGTCAATGAAGTTGATGTAGAGTAATGAGTTCCATTCAATTGGTTGTTCCAAAATGATCCGTAGTGTTGCGATTTGGTCAGTACACGATTCTTACTTAATCTAGCCTGTTGAGCGTCAACGGAGTCCTGCATCCTGTTTAACAATACCCTGTTGAAGACTTTCCCTGGTACTGAGAGAACGGTGATGCCTCTGTAGTTATCACAGTTGCTGAGATCGCTTTTCTTTGGTATATTGATCAGGTGTCGTTCTTTCCAGTCTGATGGTATTTGTTCTCCATCCCAAATCTCGATGAAGAGAATGTGGAGTATCTCTGCAGTTACTGCCAGATCTGCAGGCCAAAAGTGAAAGAAACTAAATCCTAAGCCTAATGTAAAAGCTAAAAAATATCCCAGTTATTTTTACAATCATAAGAACTAGGAAACAAAACAGTAGAAACATTTATTATTGTATCAAACACAAGTGTAGATGAATAGTAGCAATTATTACTTAACAGGATTACATAGATATGTTTCCTTTAAGATAAAATAAACTCACAACTTTATCAGTCACAGGAACATTACGAGCTTGAAGATTACGTCTGATTGTAACTAAATCAAAAGGCGTAAGTCAAAAAATAGAAAGGAATCTTCGATTGCCAAATTAGTCACTTTCTTAAAATTTCCCACAAATAAGGGTCAAAAAGAAAGTTAAATGGAAACATCGAAGGAATTCCTCGTAAACACGTGCTTTAGACCCTCACTATAATAAAGAATTCCAAAAGCATACCAGATTTCGATTCCACTCTGGAAGCCAGACACTTACGTGCAACATAACAACTGTCAATTTTATTTGCGTATTTCCTTTCCGTATTTTATTATTTTATACAAGCAGTGGAGCAGTTCTTCAGGTTTGACTGATTTTCATTATTGCTTTTGAAGTGGATTCCCTATTATTTTTCACTTGAGGGCGACTCAAGAGGCAGTTGAGTAAACACGTGAGAGCCAGACAGAACATAGGAAAATCATACCGCAACGGCATGGTGTGGTGTAACCCACCCACGGCACTTCCTCAGATATTCTTGTTTCATTTCATCACCCCCTTTTCTCTTACAAGCTTTGGCCGCCATACAGAGGGAATGTAGCGAACCATCGGCGATAGTTGTGGAAGAAATTAAATGCTACGAGATAAAATAGCAAGCTGGTAGGGGAAGAGACACTCATAGATTATCGTCGAATGCTGACGGAATTGGTCGTCATCGACGAAAAGTCAGAAGACGAACGAGCCATTATTTCTCCCTTGGGCTACGGGAACAAAACGCAGGTGTTCTTGTTAGATAGGTTAATCGGATCTCTGTTCCTACGGAAGTCGATTCTAAGAGAAAGCTAAAGTAACAATTTAGGTTGATTGTAAAAGAGTTGACCTCAAACAACAGTATATGTTAAAACAATAAAGCTCAACTCTTCATTGACTCCCTTATTTCGGATGTGCATTATATCTACCATTATATTGCAATGAATGTTGAAAAGCTTTGTGTGTTTCAACAGGTAACCTTGCGCTCCACTGTGACTCTCTCATGAGCTAAATAAAGTCTCTCGAAAGAAGCCTGTATTGAAGGATTGTGATGCTGTTTGCTCATTCATCCAATGCTTCTTTAGTTTAAGTTTCCTCCCAGTACTCCACATTTTCCGGATATACCATTTACCTTAAGTAGTTGTTGCTCATCACTTCTTGACTTTCATCATGTAGTGTCATGATTTTTCTGTATGAAAACTCTTCAACTCAGAGGGCGGGGTTCTAATGGTTTAAATTTTTTCTTTCTGTCGTCTTTTTTAGCAACGTTTTTTTCTACGTGATGGAGCTGCTGACTCCATACCCAACGCCGCTTCTTTAACCGGGCTCATGACTGGCAATAACCCTAGAATAGATACAGGCAGAGCTATCATTGCCTGTTATTGTTATACTTTCCACCAGTTTATTTTTTTTAAGAGACTTGTTTACCGATTCTGTTGAATCTCACCGTCCCTTATCTTTTCGCATCAAAGGTGAAAATAAAATCCATGGTAAAAATACCAGATCTGTCTTCTAGTTTAGTTGAATAATTACTAAAAGTTAAGGTGCATTGAAACTTTGGATTTCATGTCTATACCTTGGAAATCCATCCAAAAACATCCATACTTAGCCATATGTGAAGGAAGCAATGTATACTTTCTTTCACAAATGTCAGATTGGCAAATTGATGGCGGTAGAATATCAGAAAATTTCGATCTCATCAGTTTACCTAACAGCTTATGAAGCTCATGTTTTAGAATAAGTTCAAATGGTTCAAATGGTTCAAATGGTTGTGGACGGAATAGAAGAAGCTTTCGCTTAACAGGCTTCCGTGTCTAGTAGCAGGAGATCACGAAATCCTCCAGGCAGGAACCTAGGTATGTTAACAATAAAAGAGGAAAAGAAATTGGTAAATCATAGTGTGATGCTGTCCTTGGTCCTTAAGAATAGGTCAAGTTGCCTCTTGAAGGACTCCTGAGAAGTCGCTTGGACTAGCTCGGCCGGCAGAGAATTCCAGCTTTTGACAACTCTTAAGGAGTAGAAGTTGTGTCTACATTCCGTCTTGCTATGTTGTGTTTCCAGTTTCTGGGTGTTACCCCTTAGGTTATTGTTCGAACTAAGCTTAAGTAGGTGTTTAAGAGGATGTCCAGAAGTGTTAAGAATACTATAAGCCATTAATAAATCAACTCTAAGACGCCTATATTCTAGTGGGTAAAGGTCTAGTGAACGGAGGCGTTCTTCGTAAGGCTTAGATTTGAGTCCTCGAACTGATTTCGTGGCTCGCCGTTGGATACGCTCCAAAGTGACCTTGTCCTTTTGGAGTGAGGGGGGGAGTACTATGTTTCCGTACTCTAAATGGGGACGGATGAAACTATTGAAGATTGTGTGGAAAGTTCTTCCGTCAAACTGGCCAAAAATGCGCCTCAACGTTACCAGTGCAAGGTTTGCTCGGAAGGCATTTTTGTCACAGTTAGCGTAAGACTTTAAGTCATGGGGCACCAGGACTCCTAAATCTTTTTCGACTTGGGATACTACTAGAGAGGAGTTTCCTAAGTTGTAACTGTAGTTTGCGACATGTCGCAGATGGACTACTTTACACTTTGAAGTGTTAAAGGTAAGTCCGTTATCGTCTGCCCAACTTTGACGTCGAGTCAGATCCTCCTGAAGTGCCAGTATATCCTCTCGGTTGCGTATCTCTCCTCAAAGTTTCACGTCGTCGGCAAAAAGTAATAAGTCTGACGTTACCTGTTGGGGAAGATCATTTATGTAGATCAAGAAGAGAAGAGGCCCTAGTACTGAGCCCTGGGGGACCCCACTAGGACATTCCATAGCCTGAGATAAAGTGAAATTAACCCTAACCTTAAAGTGTCGATTTTTTAGGTATGATGTAAGCCAATCGATTAGAGGTGGTTTGATACCTAGTCGTTTGAGGTTGTTGATAAGACACAAGTGGTTAACCTTATCAAAAGCTTTTGAGAAATCAAGGTAAATGACATCAACCTTTCCCTTGCAATCGAGGATGCTTGTCCATCTGTCCACCGCAGTCAGCAGGTTGGTTATACAAGAGTACCCTTCCTGAAACCATGCTGTTGGGGTGAGAAGAAATTTAAGGACAGTAGATAGTCATTTAAACCGTCGCATATTAGGGACTCCATGAGTTTTGAAGGTAATGACAGAATATATAAAATTTCGAGTCTACAAACATTCATTACTCCACATATATTTGTCAAAAGCAACCGTGTTATCATTATATAAGATTTAGTATTAAAAAACCCGTTCAGAATGTCTAATTTGTTTGAATCATGCAAGCTAATAGCTTTATCCTTATGAACTTTTAGCGGTGGGATGAACAAGATGATATCTCATCTGGAATTTCCGTAATCGCGTTAGCACTAAACTTATTATCAGTTTTTTTCAATGCAATCCAATTTGCCTTTAAATTGTTCTTTGGAAAATAAGTTGGAAAACCTAAATTTATGTGGAAACTCATTCGGATATGGCCATAATTCTTCTTCGCAATATAAATTAAGGGATAAGACTGGATATCCTCCAGACACACCTCAAAAGTATGTCAATGACATGAAAACAGCAAGACACAACACAAGAGCGATGTTGTTTGATTCTGAAAGAGGCCCTTTGAGCCCGAAAGCTACTGAAAATAATTATTGCAGTAAGTGAGATGACATTTTGAGTTTTCTAGTGAACCTAGATCCAACTAAGATTAATTTGTAAACTACTTCAGAAACTTTTGTAGCACAATCCTGCTATCTTATTTTTCACCAATTCGAGCGTTTTCACGTATACGCCGTTGTATATAAAAAAGTATTTTTACTTATACAGCTACTTATTATCTCTATACATTTTTAAACTAAGTTTATGCAGACAACCAAAACAATTTTTAGTTTTGATGTCATAGAAATATTTATTTGGAAGTAGAGATAACTAGCTTAGTTTCAATAGGCCTTGGATTAAACTCAGTCACTAGTCCTTTAGATTTGCAGTGTTTAGGATTGTACTATGTATTGATAAAATATTTCGGGCTGTTTAATTCTCATTTTGCCAACATTTACTTTATATACCAGCGCTAATGATATTGGATTGTATATTTTAGCGTTCCATCCATTTACGTTGTAACTGACTGACTGTCTAGCCTGAAGCTGCGTGCGTAGAAAGCAACGTGTCAGAACCTAAAATGGTAAAGAATAGGAGAACAAGCAGCCTGATCACTCTGGTAGTGTGTAAAACAAGCGTATATTAAGTAATTAAAACGATTGATGACAGTTTGCATTAATAAAGGAGTCAGACTAAGACAACCTAATAATTGAAACTAGAAGTTGGTAGGTTGAGGTCATATATTCATTACAAAATTATGATTCACAACTACAATGCTTAGCTCAACTATTTTTAAATGAACCGACACAAAAAACTATATCTTTTCTTTAACCAACATCAGCCCTCCGACATGAAGTAATAATCACGAAGTTCGGCTAATTATATATTCAAGAGCCGGCTTTCATCTTAGGTCACATATAATCAATAATTTACTTGGAGTAAAATAAGCTATTCGGAAAATGTTCGAAAATAAAAATCATCTTTAGCAATAGCGTTTTAGGAAAGAACTCGGTCGTTTTAAAAGAAGATAATGTATAACACAATCTAAAATTTGTAGAAAGGAAGGTTTGTGAGTTTTGCTTTATAATATAAAACCATATGTTATTCACATCTGATGAGAAAAATAAAAAAAACGTTATTATAGCATATTGTTACGGAAACATATTTTGTCAGAAAGCGTCCTAGCTTCTTGTCTATCGTTACACCATAAAAGTCTGAAAAGAGTTACATTCTTCTTACAAAACATTGACTGCAGTAAGGTATTCACATATTTTAGATTACTCAATAAAAAAGGTAAGATTCACTCAAATGGGATCCTGCTTAGCCTGTGCTCACCACATGTAGTGAATTCTTTACTCTGCTATGCTTTCATTTGTCACTATTCTAATCCGTACAAATCGAGAAGTAAGACTAACTTTTGGCTATTTGACTCAATACTAACAACTCAATTTGTTTCTAAGTAGTAAGAACAGTTAGTAATACATTCGGAAATAGATAATTAAAATAATGTGATGAAAGATGCATATACTCCTTTATATTAAACGTCTATGTATTCAAACCACGAAAGAGTAGAGTGAATTATAGTTTAAAGGTTACATTGTTAATTAAGTTTGTTAGAGTAAATGCTGTTATCTGAGAGAATATCTCCAATAGTTTTGCCGAAAGTTATGATTTTTTAAACTGCATTTAATCATGCAAGATTTTACAAGGAACCGATGATACAACAGTTAAAGCGTTATGAGTAAGATACTTTAGTTTGGATAAATTTATTTAGTGAAATTGCTAACTTGATTGCACATGAAATGTAAAGTAAATTCTGTCATGACAATGCATAAATGTTTTCTTCGTCTATTGATTAAAGTCAGCCAGTAGCGCAAACCGTTTCAAAATTGAAAACATTTGCGTAAGGTGTAAAACTATCAGTCAGTCCTATGTTTCATTATAGATGAAACATTTCAGAATTGATTTTTCAAAAGTTCTATATATACGCCAAATATGTTACTCTGGTTGAAAAATGTTAGTATGCAGTTGATTTATTTAGACATGGAATGTACTTTAATCAGATACGTTTTTAGTATCAACTGTGGTTGTAAATGCGATTCATAATAAGATGATTTGGTTGCATCGACATCACTGATTTTTAGACGATTATATACTACTCGACAAAGTTCGTAATCTGTTTTACAAGTCTTGAGGTCATAATCTAATATAACTTTGTTGTCACATTTTGTTTAAACTTATTGTATAACTTTGTAAATGTAACTTTAAAAAAGCTAAAATATCACAATAATAAGTGCGAGCAGTTCACCTTGAGAATTTATGATAGTTTTCTGGTATAGCATGTGAGGAGTGTTACTGTTTCGTTGATGAACTGTATAATTGCCTTAATTCATTCCATTCAATACTCTAACTGTAAGAACAATAAATGATAACCTGTTTGTATAAAAAATTCTACTTTATAATTTCATAAACTCAATGAATTAAACTTAATTTGGGCATATTTTTGGAACATGAGGGAGGCAGAAAAGATTATGACTTTCATGCTCAAATATTTTAAATCTTTCACCACTTTTTACGAGATACTGATTTGAATGTCGTTACTTGAGAATTAATTAACATTTTTTTGTATTAATAATTTTTACTCGATTATTTGTAAGATATCGCTTAATATTTCCTCGTATAATTTATATAGGAGCAAGTCCTAGCCCTATGGTTAACAGACCAAGTACAGTTTTTAGCCCAGTCGGTGGACCTTCAAGTTCATTTGAAAAAATTCGTCAAGATCTTCTCCAATCAGGCCATTTGTTTTGCGATTCTGCTTTTCCAGCTGATGACTCAAGTCTTTATTACAGTCAAAGACCACCATGTCAAATTGTCTGGATGCGTCCAAGTGAAATAGTTGCTGCGATCAGCGGAGGTGGTTCCATGGGTATAACCCCAAGAAAGATATCAACACCAGAATTCATTGGTGAAGGTGGAATCAAACTCGGCGAACTGAGACAGGGAGAATTAGGTTAGCCGTCTACTTGTAGAATTATTAATTTTCGAATACTTAATATAGAAGTACACGATATTCAATATTACATTAGTCATTATTATTAGTTTTATTCAGTATTATGTTTTTGGTACAATATAGAATCCTCAGCACAAAGTATTTCAGCGAGTTTCCGTTTCTTATTTCTTGATTGATATTGACGTTAAACACTGAGCGATCGCCAGTTGGATATTAGCATTTTAGAGGTCGACATCTGAATAACACTCATTCTTTTCAATACACATCGCCAGCCATCACAATGCCTCCGATTGTAAATTGTTGTCGTAAACATTTCACAAACACACACGAACAGGTTATGCAATTATTTGACATAATGATCTGTTAAAAAAAACAAGGAAGCATATAGCTTGTTGAAGTATCTAGATGGCAGGAACAGATAGCCCAGATATTCAAGTACGCCGTCCGTATGGAAAAGGATTTGAATGCGGATGAAATTACGAATGATTATCTGAATACCAGGAAACACGTTTAAAGTAATAAAAATTTATTCAGTAAAATACGAACAAAGTCCAGTAGGATTAGCAACGAATGCATGACAACAGTAATCGCAAAAGTGTGTTTATTACTGTAAGGAGTCAAATAATTAGCAGCAACCAAACAGAAACAGTTGATTAGAGGTAATAGTTATACTGTAATTAACTTAGGGTTTGATTTTCATTTTTGATTTAAATTAGACTTCGTTTCGCAAACACACTTTAAAGTTATTGATCGTTACCAAATAAGAGTGCGCGAATAACTTTAATCATTCTATAAGTATCAGTGAATACAACTAATCATGGAGAAAGTTTATTGGCGATAACGTTCATGAGCCAATTCACAGGAAACTATGTAAGTAATACGAGGGTCTTGGACATATATATAATTACCAAATAACCCTCGTGACTCTGAATATGTTAGTAGCTGAACGTTTCCTACAGTTTTGATAAATATTTCACTATATCTAATACTAAATAGAAATTCTGGTTTACAAATATAATGGATTTTGTTCTAAGTCCCCATTTTCACTTCAAGCACTCAATGTAATTAAAAACAGTCTCTTTTCTAGATATTTGTCTGTGCCGGTATATTTTTTTGATAAACAGCATATACCCATACTTATGTAGCCGGCTGTTTAGTCTGTTTCACCAAGTGAGTCATACAATTAATGATACCAATCAGTTTTTGTTTTAAATTTGTAGGAGATTGTTGGGTAGTTGCTGCATTGGCTGCTATAGCCGGCCAACCGAGTCTTCTTAGTCGTACTATTCCTACTGGACAGTCGTTTCGAGTAGAATGGTATGCTGGCATATTTGCCTTTCGATTCTGGCGTTTTGGGCGTTGGGAAGAAGTTTATATTGATGATCGTCTTCCAGTTAAATCTGGTGGTCAACCGTTGTTTGTACATTCTGGACGTTTAACAGAATTTTGGCCAACGTTATTGGAAAAAGCTTACGCAAAGTTAGTTAAATATTTCTGTTAAGTAATTCATTCATTGTATGAGTATTTTTGAATATCATAACAAAATTCTGATAAATTTGATTATCCACTGCTTCATTTAGAACTATTTATATACTATTATGAAATGCTAAGGTGCTTCATGATCACAGATGCAAATTACTAGGTTAATGGCGTTGTTTATTTATAATTCTTGCGAAAAATTAATTCCTACAGTTTTTAACGAAGAGAGTTATTCTAAAGTAATACAAGGTAGTACTTGCAAAATAATGAAGTTACTAACAAGCAATTTCTAGTTACTTTTCTTTTCTAGTTGATGGTGCTATATTACAGAATGGTTGAAAATATACATGAAAATAGACAACACATGGTTGTTGGTAGAATTTTTATTTATGGTTCTTTAATATAATACTATTTAGAGAAATCAGTTTCAATCCCTGTACACTAATTCAAGAGTTAAAGTAAATTTTGAGATTTTGAAACAATTTTTGTTTTACTTTAATCATTTTGTCGCTTATTAAGCTTAGAAAATCAACATGGTGAATGACAACATATTAAATAACCTGAATTGAAAAATAGATCATATTGAAAGTTATATAAATGGGGGCTTTTAATTACGAATCATTACTGCTTGAGTAGTGTTTGTCTTGGATGTATATACTGGGTTCAATTATGTCGTAAGTAGTACATCTTGAAACTTTAGTCAATAAGTATCCATAAAGTCCCAACTTAAACATTTGTCTATTTGTCAGTGACTCTGCCTGGAGCTTCTCTAGGGTTACTGCCGGTCCCATGCCCAGGTAGAAGAGGAGGGTTTGGGGAAGGTTTAACAACCTCAACCCGTAAGATGGGACCCCCAACTATAAAGAACTGGTTGAATGTGGAGGGAGAAGGGCATTCATAGTGAAGAGTTACTATGCCTCGTGGCGAAAGTCGTGAGTCTCTGAAAGCCATAAGGTTAACGCTCCTAACAAGCAGGGAAACGATAGAACTAGAGCCGTGGAATGTTTAAATATCTAGTTTCAGTGACTCTTTTTAAATCTTGAGTTGTTTTATTCAACTTAGCTGATTAACTTTCAGTTGACGTCATTTTTTACCGTCGAAATTTATTTTGGAAAAATTTCAAACAATTTCAGACTAAATGGGTCATATGAAGCTTTGAATGTTGGACTTGTCGGAGATGCAATGGATGATCTGACTGGTGGTTTAACAGAATCATATACACTTCCAGGGGCAGAAGACCACGGACTTCAACCTCCATCCGACTTAGACGATATATTAATAAAATCGTTTGATCGTCGAAGTTTGATTACAGCTCGCATAAAGGTTTGTTAATTTTCGTGCTTTCTTGTAGTTATAACTTCAGCATTTCGTTAGATAACCACGTAGTGGAATTTAATATTTTAATTAATTTCTTTATTTTTACTTCTTTCTCTCATACGTTACCAATGTGGGTTATGAACGCTAGGATTGATTTACTCACTTTCGTCAATTAGCCGCAGGTTTTGTGTTGTTTTAGTAAATCTCTAGTGATCTCAGAGATTTGATTTCGGTTTGTGATCTTTGATTGGCTGTAGAAATATTGATTATAATAAGTTGATTTTCAGGAATATATCACCAAATGATGTGAAAACACCTACATTGGTTCATGTTTTATTTTAACACAGGATAACATTTTTGCTGAGTAATACTCGACTAACTCGGCTACAAAAACATGATCGGTTATAAGAAATGTTGAAATGAACCGTGAATTTTAACTTGTTCATTCCCTCTAACACACATATATTTTAGGCTCTGTTAACAAAAGAAATTAATACGTAAAGAGAAATATAAGGTGCAATTGTATTTTAGCTAGTGAATTGATGATTGTAAATGTATATTCAATAAAATTTGAAATGAATTTAAATCAAAGTTTTTCACTTTGAAAAACTACATTTTGCAACGACAAACTTTTGTTTATAATAATTTCACAATAGAGATTTAATTTCAATTCAGCAAAAATAGTCACTTATTTTTAGATATTTAGATAAACAATACATTGAACCTAATAAAGTATGCTGAACGTAGATGTGAGTAGAATACGTTAATTAATCCAAAAAACACAGTCGTAACATCTCTAATTGCATTAACGAATGATAAGAATTCTAATCTCCGTGGTGCATAGAGTCCGTCATTTTTAAAATTCTGTATAGCTGACTAGTGTTAGACAATAAGAAAACTAGACCTAGTATTTTCAATCGTTGGCTTATAACTACTTAACAATAAAAAAGTACACTAAAAGATCAAGTCATTTAACTAAGTAATACTCTATAGTAAACGTCAATAACATCCTATGAATACTAAATATTAAGCATCGTGGTATATGTTATTACTAGGTGATCGACCGTTGGGAACAAGCGATTAATGCTCTTAAATATTGATGATAAAAACGATGACAAGACTAGTAAATAAAAGCTTTTTAATCTTATGTTTATTGTCAACCAAGAAATGTGTAAAGTGTTAGTTGTTTAAATAGACAAATGTTAATCACAGTTGTGAGTCTGATTAAATGAACTACTTCATATGGGATATTTTCCACTTGATTCAGTATGAAATTGCAAAACGATCATCTCGTTAAATCTTTTAGTATGAATTTGATCACAGCCGTACATTTAATAATTCGTTATTTAATATCACAGAAAAGTGCTTGAATGAACCTAGTTTACTTTGTTAGCGAAACAGTTGTAGATAAATTTAAAGAGTTGCATAAGCAATAATAAAGGAAGTTTTTGAGTTAGTATTTATCTTAAACCTTCCTTAGTTAAAGAGCCATTCAAAATAAAATAATCTTAGATCGTATGTCATGAACATTTTTATTCAGATTATGCAAGCCTTTACAACTATCTTATTAAATAATGCCCTGGTAACATTCAGCGACTTATTTTGAAGAAGATTAAGTTAAAAGATGTAATCTGTTTAATCGACGAAATAGGAAATCGATTAGCTTTATTAACTGTTTGAATCGATCCAAATAGTAAACTATGAACTAACTTATTTGAACCCCATGGCTGAATACTATGTTGTGGTCGTTGCATGAAACGATGTTCATTGGTCTACAAATTATCTCTTTGACGTTTAGCATTTAGTATTGTTACAAGTTCTTTCTTTTCTAAGAATTTTTAATAATTTCTCATCTTATTTTAGTCAAACTAATTAAAAACAAACAAATCTTTATAAATATCTGACTAAAGTTTTACTAGATTTTATTTAATATTTCCCTAACTCCTGTGAATAGAAGAAATATAATCATTTGTTTTCTAATTTTGTTCTACTCTTTTCACTTTAAATCGTCAACTGTTAGTTGTACTAATGGTAAATGTCTTGTTACTTTACTGTTAATTAGATTTCACAAAAACCAAGTCATAGTTAATTTAGATATCCTAAGATAGTTTCACTACGGATGTACACCATCTGAAGAGCTAGCGATTGATGAACAATTACTGCGTCTAGTATTGGATTTTCACAACTGTGTACACAAATGCGAGTTACTAGCTGTTTATTGGTTTGAAGTTTCAAAAAACCTGAAGATCAATCGGATATATTTTACTGTACAACCCCTTTGCATATTTTCTGTCTCTAATTGATGAAGATAAAATATACTCTATTTTTAATTTCGTATATAATAACTCCGACCAGCCATATTGTGTATAGGTGGTATTTGCAAGTTAAATTATAAATATAGGTAGAAGAATATATTTCACGCATCCACATAATAACCGTCAACCATGCAAATCTGGATATATCTGGCGTCAAATCGTCTATTTAATTTTGTGCCAGCCCATATGGCTCAAATAGACAAAGGTAATATAGACAAACGGACATAGATAAGCACACAACATGGTTACAAGTATGGAAGGTCAGAATTAACTGTGTGTGGATACATACAACATAACAAATAAGATTACGATGTCTGTAATGCTCATAATAGGTCTTGAATCAACCTATCATGTCAGTTCATGATATAACTGAAAATTTGAATAACTGCTAATGTCCTGGGTGTATATTGGGTTGCTATTATATACAGCTTATCTCCACAGGTTTTCCTATCAATAAGATTTTTATATCGAAGATAATTTTGCTTGTTGTGTCATGCTTTTTTAAAAATTTCCACTGGCGTTTTTTTCAGTAATTAAATATTTGCCTTGTTTATTAACCTATTTTAATTGGAATCAGACTAAAGGAGTACCTGGTCCAGGTTTTGTCATACCAGTAGGATTTGTACCTGGTCAAGCATTTGGTTTAACAGATTGTCGAAAGCTTCGATTGACGGATGCATCAGGAAGTCGTTTACTCCGTTTAGTTCGCTTAAGAAATTTATGGCCTTCAGTTCGTGTGGACTGGACAGGTGCATGGTCAGAGGGTTCAACAGAATGGCTTAGTCTTCCACCACAAGACCGTTTAAAAGTTGGCTTGGTGAAAGCTCAAGAAGAGTTTTGGTAATAAATTTATGATAATTTGTTTTTGATTGGCTTTCTATTTTGAATTGGATTAATCTGCATATTTTAAAGCCCAAAATAAAGACTGCTATTACATTGTTTTGATGACATTTTACATACTAATTCCAACGGCAATTTATAATTTACTTTTTTTCAGTTTTGAAAACAAATAAATATTATATATATGTATCAATATACTTCGTAATTATAACTTTCTTAGCGTACTCAGTTGCATAATTTAATTTAATCGATTTTAATACTTTACAAGTTAGATTTAAGGTATATTTTAGCATTATATATGTATAATTTCCTTGTCTATATTGAAATCGTTAGCGAACGTCAACCAACTACTCCTGGTATTGAAAATATAACTCAGGTTTCGTGAATGTGAAAGAATTGTTAATCACCTTCAGATTTTAACGGAACTAATTTATTTTTCAGTGAGATTTACCTTTACACCAAACAAATTTTCTTAAAGCGGACCAAAATTTATAGTGTTTATCTACCGTATAAGTTTAATTTTATTCGTGTTGAATTTATAACTATCCGTCTATTTGTGTCGGTACATTTCAACTTTCCAGGATGTCCCTTGAAGATTTTATTGCCAATTTTGACTATTTGGATATTTGTCATCTAACAGAGCCACCTCCAGTAATTTCTAAATCTTCTAGTGCTTATCATTCGTTACATAATTTCCCATCAGTTCACTTACGTGGTCGATGGCTTCGAGGTGTGTCATGTGGAGGTCGACCATACATCCGTGCAAGTCACTGGGCGAATCCTCAATTTCGACTGGTAATTAATTCACCTGATCCAAATGATCCTGATGGGTTCGCTACAACCGTAATTGCTTTAATGCAAGCTGATCGTCGTCGTCTACGTCATCGTGCTCCTCGACTCGCATCTATTGGATTTGTTTTATATCGGGTACGCTGTATACATTTTTCGATTACTAATATAATTTTGCTTGAACACTTAGGGTGAAATATAACTTATGTTCATCTTTCCAAACATTAAGTTATGTATCTATACAACCTGACATTTGAGATATTCTTATAGCATTTTTTGACGAACTTTAGTATCACCAATGTTGAATAAACAAACTTATAGATTTAGTTATCTGTTTGAAAGGTTAATCATTCTAGACTGAAAATACTCCACTTTTGTTTCTTGCTTGTGTTTATTGATAGATGTTTCCTAATATATATAAGTGCTTCTTGTGAAAAAAGATTTTGTTTGCATATACTGGCCCTCTGGACTATCATTACGTTAAAAGTATTAATGTCATATGTTAAGAACAAATGATTTTTGTCTCCAGTGTTTTAAACTGCAGTCCAACTCGAAAAATATTTACGACTGGTGGCAATGTCGAGGCAATCCTCTCAGGATGCTCATATGCCAAAGGAGACTGGTCCCTTACAGTTCTTAACACCGACAACGCAAAGAATTAAACCCTTAATAATAAATTATCTTCTTCATAAATAACGTATTATATGTACAATCACAGTTTGTGTTGTTTTTCATCAGCTTGAAGATTGTGAAGCTTACTTTATTGTTTTTTTTCTCACAATACACAGATTTACGAGTTTATTAATGTGTGCATAGGTTTATGCATATAATTTCTCTTGTCAACCAATGATGTACTTGCGCAGTTTCCGCTATTCATGTTGCATTTGCGAACATATATTTATTTAATTCTTTGCAATAAATGAAGTAAATAGTATTTACTCAATCTTTGTTATACGTAGATAGTTTATTTAGAAGATCACCATAAACATATGAGAATAATATTATTAATATTAGTGTTCCGTAATGCCACATAGATAAGCGCTTGGTCAATGGATTAAGAAGGCCGATAGTGAATACGGCTAATAATCTAAGATTTTATAACTTCACTAATTTTTTAACCAAATGGATTTAAAATGATCTTCAAGAATTATTTAAGTAGACATTGATTGCTTGGGAATGAAATACTTAAGCAGATAAGATTCGAATCAAAATACATGATTACACTTGCTAAGAAGTAGCTATTTTATGCTGTATTTCCTTAGATCCAAAATCACTAATTAATAACATCAATGTCTAACTCCAACTAATCCACAAAATTGAGCGACACATCCATCATTGCCAACAGTGAATTAGTATCTCACAACTAACCCGGTTGAACTTCACTGGTCACTGCTTATCACTAGAACTCCAGGATTTACATGTTGAAGCCAGACACTAGTGAGCATATGTCGATTATTATCAACTATTTTGTAGCATTAAAAAGATTTGAAAAGTTTATCTTGCACATTCATATATACTGAGTTCATAATAGAATAAGTCGAAATTAACAGTTGAATGATAAATAAATGAAGTGGACAATGAATTAAGTCTAATTTGTTTTAAAATAATTCACTCCATAACATTCGTTTACATGAAAGACTACAAATTCTAAATATATAAATAATCGTGTTATGATACTTTGGATAATCAATTCTATTTTGAGCTAATTATTTTTCTAATCAAATTATGGTAAAGTTATGGTATCAAATGCACTTTTAGTGCATTACTAATAAGTTTTTCTCTAATGATATTGTTTGTTTACTTATATTCAGATTCATTTGTCATTTATATCAATATTCATTCGGACAAGTTTCAACAGCATTACATGAAAGTACTGATTAAATTAGGTTATTAACTTACTCCTTTTCGTTCCCAATAATTATGTAATTTAATAAAACAGAACAATTTATCATTTTAACAATTTCTGGGGCAAAACATTATTGGATTAACTAAATATTATAAAATTTAGATGTGATATGTGATAGTAGAATTTCGGTAATGTGCTCTTGACTTAGATGTCGACTGCCAACAACTCCATGAGCTATATGAGTCTTGGGTAACATCAAGACATGCAGGAACTGAGAACATTTCATTCGTTCTTGACATTATCATAAAAGCTATCGATATTATATTGTCTGTAATGTATATTGGAAAACAAACAAATTGATAAAACCTTCAAAGAGAGCTTGATTAAAAAAGAAAGAGTAAACATCGTTTTAACGACCAAAGATTCTGTGTCATTAGTGGAATCTTGGCAATCAAATGTAAGAACTCTAATCATAGGATTCAAAAAAAAGATTTTAACCAGTATTCTAAGCATTTCGTTCTTGCGTAGATAAGTTATGTTTTGCTTCAACTTCACTAGTCATTAACTAATCTTATTATATAGAATGTGAACAGTTGTGATTTGACAAAACCACTAGATATTAAATTACAGAAAAACTAAATAGTAGAGTCGCATAAAAATTAGTTGACTACAAGGTTATACCAGCTCTTTTTTCTGAAAATTCCTCAATTTCTTTCAGAAGACATATTGTTACCGTTATACGTATAGTTTTATTCTTGATCTTATGTAACACTTAAAGTTATTTGTTATGTGACTGATCGCATATTAGTTTTTTTATGATTTCTATAAGTGATTGTATAAACACCATACCTGTTGCATGAGCCAGTAACTATCTGCACGATTGTATTAGATCTTCCACTTTCATCGATGGTGCTGACCTGGTATGTGAATGTTCCCACCTGTTCCAGATTTTCTCCATCAATTGTGATTGGATTGGTGTTCTCCTTGTTGTATTTGAGAATGTTGCTTTTTCTCTTGTGTATGTTGAGTCCTACTGATGCAGAGACTGCTGCTACCCTGATTGTCTTCATCTGCATTTGTTAGTGTGTATGGGACAGAAGGGTCAGGTCATCTGTGAAGTCCAAGTCGTTTAGTTGCATGTAAGCCGTCCATTTTATTCCGTGCTTCCCCTCGGATGTGGAGTTCATAATCCACTCAACTATCAAAAGAGAAAGGAAGAGAGTAAGCGAACGTGTCTGACTCCGATCTTCACTTGGAATGCATCTGTCAGCTGTCCTCCATACACCACTTTTTAATGTAGTCCGTCGTATGAATTTCAGATGATGTTGGCGATTTTCTCAGCTACTCACTCCATAGCGTTGAAGAAGGTTCCATGAGTTTCTTCTATCCTCACTGTAAAACTCCTTCTCATAGTCAAGGAATTTGATGCATAGGGATTTGTAATGTCACAATTTTATCCTCAGGGAATCCGAATTGTTGATCTCGAAACTTGGTGTCTGTTGAATCTTTCAGTACCTGTAATTTGTTTGAAATTTCTAGTACGGGAATAGCATAAAACAGTACCATATCCATTCTGTCATTTATTCTAAGTATCAAATTATTATGAGTAAATTGACAAAAGAAACAAGATTATTATTACCACCTTTTGTGATTAAATCGCTTTATTGAGAAATGTTTCAGTTCGTTTCTATAGTCACTAAGCCGTGATTTTTAATTTTTGTATTCAACCGCGGCAAAATACAATTGAGATCAGTTAATGATTTGATTTCAATATGAATTCGTATGTAACTACAGATAATAAAAATATAAGTCAATTATTATTGAATTGACAGCAAAATTACCCCATTAGTACCAGTGTTCCCTTTATGTATGTACGTTATAAAGCAAATTTTTTTCATATGAACTCTACCCTTATGTTGTATATATTTATTTATATGATCTTCATCAGCTAACATAGGAATTACCTTGCTTCCGTTAAAAATAAAGTAATTTATTTATATGACCTCTATATTGTAGAAATCTAGTAACGCCTTTTTCCTGTTAGATTTGAGCATATGAAATCTATGAAGTTGACATTGTAATGTATATGTATTTTCATCTAATAAGTTTGGTATTATATATATAATGTTATTAGAAGTTATAGTATTTCTGCAATGGAACCTACTATATTTCCTGAAGATTCAGTATTGAAGTTATTCAACCTCAGAAATTTATTTCCTTGCAACACAAGTTTTAAGAAAACTGAACTAGATACTAAAACGTGTAAGATAATAAGTTTACCAGTAAATTCAATAGTACAAAACTACTTTATTTGTTTCATTGTTATAAATTTTAGAAAATAATGTAGAGAAACAATCCTTTGTTTATTTCGAGAATTTTGTAGAAATTCTATTTCCGCCAACTAATAAATGATTTCATTCAAATTGATAATTTTATTATTTGTAAATTGTTCATATATAGAATTATGATTAAATTATATTTATGCACTAAATCCAACTGTTTAACTAATATTATATATTTTAATCTTATATCCAAAAATAAACTAAATTCATGTAAAGTACACAATCTTGGTAAGATGAGATGTTTGTTTTGCATTAGATAATTCTTTATGGTGTTATAACAAAGTGAATGATACTACACATTGTCCTCGTATTTGTCATTGAAAAGATAATGTTTCAAATTTTCTGTACATTGGGTAGTTAAGATTAAAGGTGATTAGTTTCGTAATCTATCAGATGGATGATGCCATTGCTGGTTAACTGTACCATAATTTTGTGAAGTTTGCGTACTGTTGTAGCTATTGTACGTTCAATATTTGCAAACTTCAAAATCTTACCTATTTATTTGGTTTGATAAAGTAGAAATTTATATGCAATCAGTTGACGAATATTGATATCAACTTAAGTAGCGATTGATTTGAGAAGAGACTGCTAACAGATTGAAATTCAATCCACAAACGCACTGGCTGCTACTCATTACTTTATGAGAAAGTGTATGATGCAATAAATTTCATAATTTATGATAGATCTTGATTTTTATCTAAGTATTACATTCTAGTATACATGAATATGGAACTTAAATTTCATTGTATACGTTTTAATTATGACAAAATAAGTCGAATAAATCTCTTCAATGGTTGTTATTTCTATCGATTTTATCTTTATTTTCTGTTGTTACAATAATAATCAGCTTCCAGCTGGTGCTAATCCACCAATGCCACGTGGATTTTTTGAAACTAATCATCATATAGCTAGTGTGGATTTTTTCTTCGATTCTAGAGAAGTTGTTAAACGGTTAAAATTAACACCAGGTCATTATCTTCTTGTTCCATGTACATATGCAGCTGATCAACCAGGTGAATTTTTATTACGTTTATTATTTGACAATCCGGATAGAATTTGCGAGTAAGTAGCTCTTTGTCTGTAACAAAAATTTTTTCGTGTGATTTTTAAGAAGCCAGTTACCTTTAAGTCAAATACTAAATGGAACATTAATCTATAATTGACAGAAGTAATTATTTCCTTAATCTATCAGCTCTGATAATTAACTAACTGCTTTGAACTTATATAGTCGGAAAATTTGTATTATTATTAGCTCGATTAAATATTATATTTTTGGTACAATATAGAATTCTCAGCGCAAAGTATTTCATCAAGTTTCCTTTCCTTATTTCTCAATCGATCCTGACGATAAATATTGAGTGATCGCCAGTTAGATTTTGGCAGTTCAGCAATCGACATCTGAATAATTTACTTTCTTTTCGTTGTATGTTGCCAGCAACCACAATGTCTCTGATTGTGCTCTTTCCTAACTGAATAGGTTACGCAGTTAATCGACATAATGATCTGTTGAAACAAACAAAAGGCAGATAACTTGTTGAAATATCTAGATAGCAGGAACATGTAGTCCAGATATTTAAGCAGGCCGCTTATATATATTCACGAGAGTTAATTTATCGGCTAAGCTATTAGCGAAACCACATAAGCCATTTCAGTAACCTAAAATGAATACGTTATATTAAATTCATAAAAGAAATTTAATTTCTAATAACTGTTTCCGGTTGTTAGACAGAAATCATAATGTGATATAATTTTGATTTACTTGTCTTAATAACTATATTATGCATTTGAATGATAGAGTTCGAACAACAGTAGTGATTAATATTTATTGTCAAAGGCCACCACTTATATTTACTAGTTATTACCTATGATGATTGATAACGTGTTAACATTGAAATCTAACACATTATCTAATATACTATATTATCTTCTAGCATAAAACATCGATTTGTTTTATTGTTTTCAGATCCACTTTGGAACGCGTAGAACTTAGCGGTTTAGCTGCAACTGGACCAGAGCTTGATCCAAACTATGAATTATTTCAGCCACGTCTTAGACGATTATTTTATGAAGCTTCAGGTGAATCGATGGCTGTTGATGCGTTTCAGTTGGAACCAATACTTAATTGCCTTTTGCGAGATGATCATCGGGCACCATACAGTATGGTATGTAATAACCTTCCATTTCATATGTCCATATGACTTAGAAACTTCCCAATCAAGTAGTATTGATTTGAAAATTACTGCTGAACGTTTTGAGAATAAGTTTCATTTTGATTGTAATTGGCAGAGTTTCCTATATTACCAATAAATCAGTGAATCGTGCTTTCTTTACCAGTGTGAAGATTTTGCATCCTCTTTTACTCTGAGAAATGCGAAAACTATTCATGTTTAAGTCAGGAAAGGCACTTAACTGTTGATGTGATTATCTACTGTTTTCAAGGCTTATATATTACAGTATTCCAATGTTTTTCTTCTCTGTCATCCAGTGCTCGGAGGACTATCGTTTAAGTGTTGTGCATTAGTCATCCGGTTTTTCCACTTCACAAAGATCCCACTTTGTATTAGAAGAATCTCTTAATTGTTAGCAATTCAGATGTATATAAATTCAATTTACAACAACTCAACACTGAGAATAACCGGCGGTAATTTTAAGACACAAGGTACTCGATGATTCTGTTTATTTGAGATTCTAGACTTAGTGATTAAGGTTGCCCCAAACATCATTAGATATCGACATTAAGTGAGAATAATAAAACCATTCGTTCGGTATTATTCTGTTGTTTTACATGTAAGATAGAAAACATGTGTAATTTGTTGATAGTAATTTTTGTTCAAACGTTTAAAAAGTCTACCTATCAATTTTTAATTGTTGGGTTAAACTCATTTGCTATTTTAATAAGATTATCATTATTTATAGTGCATGATTTGAAATGTTTACAGAATTTACTCAGTATTTATGTAAGCGTTCTTGGACAATAATTTATTAAAATTTTGTTAAAAATTTAATCAGGTTAGTACAGATGCTTGTCGATCTCTGGTAGCCCTTCTCGATCGTGATGGGACAGGACGTTTGTGTGAATCAGATTTTCGACGAGTCTGGGATATTCTACGATCATGGTCTCGCCTGTTTGCAAGTTTTGATCCACAGAGAACTGCTCATGTAACGAGTTTGGACTTTCGAATTATTGTTGAACAAGCGGGTAAATTACGCTTTTTATACGATTTTAATATTTTTCAGTACAATTTTTAGTAATAATACGGATAGTAATTCATGACGAGACAAATAGTAATTGAGTTATTTGTACAATTGAGAGTATGTTCATTTAAGAAAATTTAGTATTTTTTAGTTTGATAATTGTCAACAGTTTGTACAGATAAGTCATTTTATTTAACTGATTTTGTAAGTTATCATTGTTCTCATTTAGAAAATTCGGATAAACGACTTTGGTGTTACCTAACTGCTCATATTGCTTAGTGGAAAATTTTATAGCCTGACAACAGTTCATTATTAATTACTTAACAATTTTATTTCTGAACGTGTCGTGAAGTCTATTTGTATCATTGATAAACTAAAAAATGTCAAGACAATATAAATTTTCCAGTTGCTGATATCACTAAGTCATTTATTTTATCTGGTTTGCTGTAAACAGTTTCCATATTTCTATTATTCGATGCAAGTCATTACAGGCACACAAAACTGATTATTATAGTACTAAAAATTGTCATGTAATGTCTTCAACTATAATTTCCAGTACCTGCGTTAACTGCAATCGTTAAGTCTGATTCGCCATACACGGTTCTGAAGAACAACCAACAACTCCATTGACTTATGTCTTATCTTGGCCTGGCTGTTTTTATTTTTTTCTCAACCAGCTATTTTACCTACCACTTGTCAAGAATGACGTATCCTTCACTCTTAACAGTGTATTTGAAAAGCATTTTATTATTTTGGGGGATATAGCAAATATTGATTATTTATTATATTGTTGCTTGTTCTCTCAACTAGGTTATACTCTTCCACACACACTATTTTCTAAACTTGTGAACCGATTTGTTAATGTAGATTGGCGTCTTGATTATCCGCATTTCATCAGCGCTATGTCACTTATAACAAAAGCAGTTGGTAAGTGCTACCGTTATTATTATTATTATTACTACTATTATGAATGCTAACCCACCTCTTCACTTATTTATCCGTTAAGAAATCGGATTCACATAAATATTTCATTTGTTTTAGAAGATAAAAAAATATACTGAAGTTGGAATAAAAAGTGACTCGTAAACATTTTTACCTCAGGAATAATAAAGCACTACGGTGGATTTGATACTCACAACAAGTTTGCTTGTACATAAATATGTAGTTAACTGAATAACCAAGTCAAGGTTCATAAAAATAGTCTTCAGTCATATTATTTGTATAATATTTACTAATACTGTTTGTTTAACTAATTTTTAATCGATGATGAAATAGTTACGATCGAATACATGGAAAAAATGATTTGATAGTTGTGTAATATTAACGTATACGTCGTTATTGCTTCATTTAATTACTTGAAGTCAATGACGATTATATAAATCATTTCATTCAGAATTATTAAATTACAACTGATAAATTGATAATGTCAGATATATAATTTCTGATCTATACCTATACAATATATTTTGAAACAATTACTTTCGATTGAGAAATTATGCAGTAGGACAAAATAGATTTTTGTTACAAATTTATAGTTTCAATTCTTTCTCTAAATCTAAAATGAATTCACTTATCAATCTAATTGACACTTTAACTATGAAGAGAGAAAAAAATATAGAAAATTCTCTTCATGATAATTTTTTTTCTTATCAAGATAAATTACTCTAAGCGATCAAGTTTTTAGTCAAGATTAATGTTCCTATTGATTCTATTACATATGGGTAAAATTATTGTCACTGATAAGTGTCTCTTATGATTATTCTTAATTTCGATCGATAATATTTTTACGAAAATAATTATGTTTTGTTGAATATTTTTATTAATTTATTTTCTTTTTTCATTTGTATTATGTGGTTATAGCAATTTTTAAGAATTTTGATCATGGTGGACGAGCTGTTCTACCCTTGGAACAAGTAGGCTTTTAGGTTTACCTGTTTTTGTTTTTGTTTTTTTTCGTTTTATTTATTTTATAAATTGTTTTGATAATTAACTCCAGAATTATCATAAATAAATTTATTTTTAGGGATACAAGTTATTCGACAATGTACACCTCGATGTACAATGAAACAAGTACATTACACGAACATGTAATCACCATATATTGAGTTTCTGAAATCACAGAATTTCAATAAACTATCTTCAAAAATGAGCGAATCAAATAAAGAAAATTAAATACTGTTATGATATACAAGTGCTTTATGTGATATGTTTATTATTTCAGTTTAATAAAGTGTTTGTCTATAACGTGTAATATAAAGTAGTTTTAGAAGTAGGCGTGTTATCTTATGAAATGACTTAAGTTTTGAAAACTGGGTAACCATCAGACTTGAATATTTTTCAAATTTAATCCTGATCGAACAAAGTCTTTACCGTATGTTGAATAATGAGTCATTGATTGGGACGAACAATATGTTCAATGGTGCCTAGTTTTAAATGTTTCAGCAGCTGGTATCAATCTGTAACTACATCTATTTTCGCAAATTATACTTAAATATACGAGATTAGAGTGTTGATTATTAAAAATTGCAACTAAGGTTTCAGTTTAATAAATATACTACTTTTCAAATTATATAAAATGGAAGAAACGTAACTAGTTTTGTAGCTAGTAGTAATGATAAGGAAGCAAGGAGGATAAACTTCGTAGTTTTTAGAAAGTAAAATAAAATATTGACCTTCGAAGTATAAAAAATAAGAACATTTCATTTAGTTGGGAAACTTTTCTACTTATGGTGAAACGTTGGCGTTAATACTGAAAACTCGCTTGCCTTTTAATAGCCTACATGATCTGTATGACTGTTTTCAGTCATTGAACTTTTATCATTTCTCTTTGTTCTAGTGTATTGTTCAAAGACTACTCCTGATAAAGTAAGGCGAGTGATTGTTCAAAGTTAAAAGTTATACTTTCAAATTTTTGATCTACGTCATACAAGGTGTATTGATGAGTTTTGAAGTAATCTTGTAGGAAATGAGTTATGACAGTCAATATTACTTGGGATTAAACGTGTAACTGAAAAGCCTAACACCTACTTAAATGTTCAGTCCCTACTGATATATGGACAGGTTCACAAAAACTTAAAATTTCTCAGATCGATAGAAGTGTGTTTGTTTAATTAACATTTTTCTAGCTCTTCTAAATAGACGTACTGGTTGATAAAATGACGATGTTAGAAATCTGTAAAAACTGTGATCTAAAATGAATTAGTATAATCAAGATGCAACATTTCACAACGTAACGCTGCACTAAATAAGAAATTAAGACAAGTACATGATTATGATTTAAACTACTAATGGAACTTAATAACTAACTGGCAAAATTTGTTTCACTGTTAACCATCACGTGTATTATAATTATTAATTGACATTTGTCATTTTTTTTACTGTTACATATGTTACATATATTTACAGTTGACTAAACATTCAACATTTTAATAAAAATGTCTATCAAACCTATTTTCCACTCGTTTATAGTGAATTATAAATTAACGATTTCAGACTACTTTCAAATAAACAATACAATGAACAGTATATTGTTTTGTTCAGTATTACATTTGTGAATTTTTTTTCCTTCAATTCACCTTTTTTTTCTAAATTGACCATTTAATACTTGATTATTAATTCAATGAATTGTTTACAATGAAGAATCTCAATTTTTTTTCTTTCTTTTTGTTTAGTTTGTCGAAATCGCAATGACAATGTAATTTGAAATGGAATAAACGAAAAGTAATCCATTCTTCCTCACTTTATCTATCTCTTTCTTTATGTTTTTATATTCCTTGTAAAAAAGAATTCACTACTTCAGTAATACATAATCTATTTTAATAAATCAGATAACTTATCGGTATATACTTCAATATTGATATTGTTACAATAATAATAATAAATTTTTTTCTGATTATAATTTCCACAATCTTTGGTTATTTTGTACACAAAATCCTATTATTTTTATGTTTCTAACTGATATCTATACAAAGAGAGGGAGTGAGCAAAAGAGAGGTGTTATGCTTTTTAACTACCATTATTCCGATTGGATTAACAACCTATTCATTAATTTTATCACTTCAAGTTATTTATTTACATTTTATTTATCTCATTTCAATTTCACCAATCCATATCTTACAACTCCTCCTCTCTTAATACGATAGTTATTTAAATATATAGACAGTCAAGACTACTGCTGCCACTTCTACAACTACTGATTTTGTTATATCATTGAAAAGAGTTTATCATAATTATGGCAGGTAGAATGTGCAGATCATGGCAAGTGATAATCGTTATCATAATTATGGACAAATGTTTCTTTTATACACATTTATTCGTATATTCATTCGAGCTGCTGTGAGAAAAAACAAATAACAGAATTAAAACCACTTATTTTTTAATTATTATTATTATTTACTACTTAAAAATTCAACTTAATTTTTTCTCGTTATGACTAACATATTAGTAAAGTACATAAAGTACATAGTTTTATTGTTTTATTGACTGTTCTACTAACAGTGCTGTTATAACTGCTAAGATAAATAATTATGGTAATCATGAGTATTATTAGTGCTTAATTGAAATGATATTTGATTTATTCCAAAAAGGTTTAGTAACTCTTATTCTCCCCTTGTTCCACGCTCTCCTTGTAACCACCCTATATTTTGTGTTCCCCTCTTTACTTCTTTTATTTTACCCTTCTCATTTCACATTCTCTGTCTTTACTTTTTTGATTTTCCATTACATAAATTTCCTTTCATATTTCTAATGGAGAGTTAAAAATACCATTTTTCCTTTAATATATATATATGCCTATGTTATAATAAAATGTATGCAAACAACCTTTTTGTAGGTTTAATTTAAGAAAAAATTCGCATGTACATTTTCCGACTACGGTTTTGCTTTTTCCATCAATTATATTTACCATCCTTTGTTTGTATATACACATTTATTTGTTTATCTATATTCTCTTATAAGTTTCATTTACCGTGTTATAAGAGAATTGTCTGTTCTTTATTTATTAATTCATGGATTGTTTTTTGTCTTTGCATTTTTCCCCTTCTTCATCTTCCCTTTTTCTTCCTCTTCTTCTTCTTTATTCCTCTTCTATGTTTCTGCATATAAAACTGTGTTAATTATTGTTATTATGATAAATATGGTAATTCATTTTATACAATAGATATTTTCAATTGCGTTTATTTGACTTTTTTTCAAATTTATGCCACAAAATTACATCAATTTATCAATTAATTGGTAAGGTTTTTGTAAATTTTTACAATTCGTCATGTTAAAATCATAATAACAGATGTGTTTTTCAGAGAAAACATTCATTCACTACTTATCTAGTTTTATAAAAAAGATTTAAGGTTACTGAATGTATGAACTGACCTTTCTGAAATGTAATTACTTTTATCAAAGTAAGATCGTTTAATATGAAAACACTGATGAACAGTGGAAAACAAACCAGCTTATTGTATTCACACCACAACTTTCAGCTTAGCAGTTTTACAAAGTCTTACATATCAAGTTAAAAGAGTGGGTTTATAACAAAAATCATAGTATTTGAATACGTTTCCAAGAACCACAGAAAAAATGCGCTGAGTGACGTAAAATTTGACAAAAAATCTCAATAAACACTATTCAACATAAATTTACAGCAGATTTACATAAATAATAAGGAATTCTATATATTTCCGCTTTTCTGAAAGAATTCTAAAGCATTTATTGTGTGAGAAAAAGTAAACTACGTAATATCAACTTCATTGCTGATTTCTGTGAAATGTCATAATGGTTTCTATAGTGGAAATAATGACATTTGTTCTCTATTTAACATGATGTTTTCAAGTAAATATTATTTCTATTAAACTTATGAAAATCAAGGACACTAATTAATGTGATTCAGTCGAACAATGAACAAATAAATTAATAAAAGAAATCTGAACAATCTAAATTCTTGGTACAAATACCTTTTTGACAAATAGATACGTTCATACCTTAGTGACTGGTTGGAACGCTACTTGTTATATCTGGTCGTCGCTGATTGTTATGTCGGGATCGCTTACCACTTATACTCGAAATGAGGGACCTCTGCAATTCCCACGATGCGAAATTAAGAATACAAAGACTGGTATAACTGATTATTTATTAATCCCCAAAAACACGACGATCCTAGTCAGGAATACACTTATTTATATACTGATTGTACACACATTTTGATTAATAATTAGGATGAAATCACATATATAAAAAAGTACTTAGATTTATACCAAATCATATGCTGAGCATAGATCTTGTCAACAATGTCGTATGTTATACAGAATAAAATATCACATTGGAAAACAAAAAACCAACGCTACACTGAATAATCATCACATTCAAACAAAAAACGGAAATTATGTTGAAAAAAAACTCCTAATCTGTAAATCAATTAAATTTTGACTTTTCCTTCTATCGAATCAATTTTCCTAAATAATTATGATTTCATTTAAGACTATAAATTAATTTGAGAATCGAGAAATATAAAACAACAATTTTACATATTTCATACTTATTATTTTTATTTTCAAAGTATCATACAATAAAACGCTTATTTTTCCCGATAAATTCAATCAGTTAATTTCTTGAAAAAAAACATTGATTGAGAGGATTATTTTTAATTAAAAACTGGTAATTATTACGCATAAATCACATGAACTTTTAATACAGAGTTATTTGTTTAACTCTTCTTTGAACAAAATGAGTGAAGAAGTTTTAGCTTTAAAATTCAAATGTAATTAATAGTTCTACTTTGGTAGTTGAATCCATAGATTTACTCAATATTATTCATTAGTGTTTATTCATAGATATATGTCAAATGAAATAACACTCACTACATGATAGAATTTACTTACTTATACCTGTTACTTCTCGTGGAGGAGCATTGACCGCCCACCAGCATTCCCCATTGAACTCAATCCTGGCCAATTCTTTCTACTTGTCTCCACTTGCCAATCATCCTTTTCATATCTGCTTACAATTCTCAACACAGTGTGTTCTTTTGCCTCCCTCGTTTCCGTCTCTCTTCCAGATTCCAAGTTGCTGCTTGCCTCATGATGCAATTTGATTATTTCTGCTATTTGTGTCCTGTCCAATCTCAATGACTTTTCCTAATTTCCTTTTCAACTGTGAACTGGTTTGTTCTCTCCTCCATTAGACTGATGTTGATGATATTCGATCAACAGACATTGAGTATCTTGTGTAGACAAATGTTTCAAAATACTTGTACTGTCTCGATGATGTTTGCGTTAGTTCTCAAAGTTTCAGCTCAGTACTGTCTCGACGTTCGTATTGAAGTTTGTGACTTTCATACTGGCTTGCATACAGCTATTTTGAGTTTCATATGTTCTACAATTGTAGGATTGCTGTCATTGCTTTGCCAATCTTTGCCTATACGTTTGTATCAGATCTTCCACTTTCATCGATGATGCTGACCTGGTATGTGAACGTTTCCATGTGTTCCAGTTTTTCTCCATCAATTGTGACTGAATTGATGTTCTCGGTGTTGTATTTGAATGGTTTTACATAACTGATAATTTCGAAAACGTACTACCTATCATGGATCACATCAGTTTTATCTCACAAAATACTAGACTAACCTCGTCGTTATTATGATAAAAATGTTGTATGATAAGTAGATAATTTCAGGTAAAAATGTTTTAATCGGTAGCTTTATTGTATTTTAAAGTATAACAATGAAAATGCACTAAAGGTTTTTTGTCCATTTGTTTGTACGAATAGGCTTAATTGATAATTGATTATCACGACGAATCAACATTTTAGCTGAGGAACAATTAAAAACTAAATAGAATTGGACGGCTTTTTTCTCCTGGATAAAAAATATTCATCACTGCACACCACATAACCATGAAAGAAGTCAAACCCAAGATCTCCATATTTCAAATACCCATATGATGATTGCTCATAAAGTACGAATTAATAAAAGTTATCGAGCAAACTACTGAGTAGCAGAATATTAGTAGTACTTCCACATTAAATCTACATACAAATAACTTTACAGTTAAATAATAAGATGAATAAAAGTTACCTAGAAAGTCCCTAATTTTATCATATCTGTACTTTTGTGTGTCTAACACAATAAACAGTAGAATAAACACCAAGTTTTCGTTTTTTTCCCATAAAAATTCTTTAAAATAATCAAAAGAAATGACTAAATAAACATCTTAATAAAATTCTGATTTAAGAAATCAATGTATGAGAAAGTAGTTTATGCTGGAACATTTTTTAAAAATTTGAATTCACATCAGCTGTAAGATCGTTAGACCTTAACATAATCATAGTAAAACTACTCCTTAATACATTTTATATTTCAGTGTATTCCTGTAGTTACAATATTGAAACTTTCAACATGTTAATTACTTATTCAGCTGGTTATAAACAAATAATTTTTGGTAAAGAAATGAATCATTATGAAAGTTACCACTTTTAATTAGTTTAAATCATTTTTATTTTTCCACTTGTAGTTATATGGAAAATTACAGATTTTCTCTACATCCATAATTTAAAATGTATTAATCACTTGTAAACAATAAGGTTTTACTAAAGATTTTCATTGATGATATAATGGCTCAGAGATTTGTAACCATTCAAATAATAACCATTGGGTTGTGAATTAGAACTGCACACCATCATATTCAGTTTAAGAAACTGAATAATGTTTGTA